CGAAGAACATACGCTGGCGTCTGCCATGTCTTCAGTCACGATTTTAGCACTCAGAGACGGTGGGGAGGCCGCAAGCTTTCGCCTTTTAGCACGTGCTCTGCGGGGCATTACAGACAAAAAAGTTTTTTCGTTACAGAAGAGGGATCAAAACGGAAACGCGCACTGAGTGGCAAGTATTACTGTTTTTTACTACGAAAACTAGAAAGCGGTAGTAGGGAAAGGATTCACTACAATGGATTTTTACAAAATACGACTATTTTGCTAGACTGTCAAACAAACTGGGAAAAAAATTTACCTTATATAGAAAGGCGCCTTTTAAAACGGACTCAAGTAAAAAACAGGCATTCATTACTTAAGAATATCCAGATAAATGCAGAGCTACACTTATCTTTGAAATTGAGCTGCGCGCCTTGACCTTGGCCACGAGGACCCTTCTCTAAGTCAAGAATCTGAGTGTTTGGGAATGAGACCGTTAACAATGCCTTTATGCTTTCCGGTGTAAGATATTTGCGTAATTTCGACTTGAATACCAGTAACTTAGGCGATAATCTAATTTCGGGCGGAAGATTATTCCAAAGGAAGGCATATTTGGAAGCAAAGAAGAGGGAGCGCTTAGATGTAGTACAAAGAGGCGGCGGAATCACCATGCAGGAGTTGCGCGGGGCATAAGACCGATCTCTCGGAGTGACAGTGTCTTTGAGCGGAAGACTGGAGCTAGAGTTAATGCTAAAAAGGAAGTAAAGGCCAGCTTCGAGTCTTCTAACCTACAAAAACTAATGTTCGCCTGCTGACATCTCTGAATATAAGAAATACCGAGTGCGACTTGAGAGAACAGTTTCCGGGTGAAAAACCTCAGAACATTTTCGATTTTATTACGGTCGCAGGCGTTCATTAAACCGAAGAAAGGACAGCAGTATTCGAGGACTGCAAGAAAAAACATTTTATAAAGTCTTAGCTTCATTTCCGGAAGGAAAAAATTATGCGATATGAATCCACATATCTGCGCGGCTTTGGCAGAGATTCTATCTGCATGAGGTGATAAAGCAAGCTTATGGGTATAATTTAGACCTAGGTCCTTTATGGTGAGGCATTCTGAGAGTAGGTTATTCTGAAAAATTAGGGGACCCGAAAGTTTGGTAGGACCAAAAGACATGAAACTACACTTGGATGATGAAAACTCCATCTGCCTAAGCGTAATAAATCGGCATAAATTTTTTCAACACAAACATTTGCGGTGTCCTTAGAGTATGAGTAAACACACTTGAGGTCATCGGCATAAGTAAAAGTTTGCGAATTTCCGAGTTCAGTCGAAATATCATTGATGTACAGAAGGAAGAATAGCGGACCCAGAACCGTGCCTTGAAGTACGCCACTCGTGATCAAGTGGGGTGTAGAGTAGCTATTACCGACCATGACTTTCTGATATCGGTTGGACAGATAGGACCTGATGAAGTCGAGTAGAGGCGGCCGAATGCAGAGAGCTTCCAATTTTACTAAAAGACGTCTATGGGGCACCTTGTCAAAGGCTTTGCTAAGATCAAAGTAAATAACTACCACTGACTGCCGCTCATTACGAAGAGAAGTGATTAGATTAAGAAAGGCCAAGTGGCATGTTTCGCAGGATCGTTCAGGTAAAAACCCATGCTGACTAGAGCTCAGAAGCCGATTAGCTAGTCAGAAGTCAAGAATTCCATTGAAAATAATCCTTTCAAGACGTTTTGCTACAGACGGCGTTTTGTGCACGCCCCGATAGTTATTAACATCGGACCGAGATCCTGACTTGAAAACGGGAATGATAATTGGCGGTTTCCATGTTTCAGGAAAGAATCCTTTTGAAATATAAACCGAGAATAAATGACTAAGCGATATGGGAAGGTCGGACGCTTGTTTAATAATCGAATTCGGAATCCCGTTCGTTCCTGTGCAGTGTGAGTATTTCAATCGGCTTATGTGTTTCTTAATGAGATCTGAGGAGACATCAATTGTACTAATTATCCTATCTGAAAGTGGTCGAAAGAAAGGGACCGGATCGGACTCGGTAGCAAGGTGTTTTGCAAAGAAAGCACTAAACAACTCCGCCTTGTCAGTGTCATCGGCGACAGAGTCTTTTCTATCATTAAGCAGGGGTGGAAGTTCGTGACCACGCTTAGAGGAGGACCGATGACGGAAGATGTTAGCGACGGATTTCCCAGGGTTCGAGTCACTGAGGGCAAGTGATTCTCTTTGCCTGTCGTGCGCTTGGCGCATCCTTGAGGCCATCTCAAAAATCTGTGTTATTCTAAGATGAACTGATAAGGAACTAGTGGATGGGTCACGCAGTTGTCGCCTCAACTTTTTTAGTCTGTTGTAAAGAAAATGTGGAACAAGGGAATCTGAAGACTTAGGCTTTAGATATCTACGCGGCACAAACTCTAGAATGTCCTTGGAAACATTAGGCATGACATCACGAAGGATGGTTGCATCGCTACAAGTGAGGAAGCCACACCATTCCAAAGATCTAATATAGTTATTTATTAAGTCGTTATCTACGCAGTCGTAGTTCATGTAAGTCTGAACGGCGCTGGTCTTTTTTGAAAAGGCAAGCGGTAAGCAACAATTAATTAATACGAGGTCACTGTCATAGAGGTCCTCTTTTAAAGCAACAGAAAGAGGAACAATGTCATTGGTAAAGATTAGATCTAAAATGTGATTATCCCTTGTTGGAGAACGTACCAGTTGGGACCAATTAAAAAAAATTGACAATATCTTGAAAGGGCTGGAATCTGAGTGGACAGCTATTGGAAACCCAGTCTATTTCAAGAAGGTTAAAATCCCCAGTGATTATTTTAACATCGAAAGCAGCTTCCGAAATCAATTTAAAGATTTCACATAGTTGTGAATCATCACTGGCTAAAGAATTTGGGGGATTGTAGATACAGCCAATAATTGCCTTTCTTTGCGGTGAGAGAATAATTGATGCAAAGCAGAAGTTGCCCCTGAATGAGGAAACATCCAAGTAACAGGGAGAGTGCTTTAGGTAGGATTTAAGATAAAGAAGACAACCACCCCCACGCCTAGTCGTACGGTCTTGGCGGTAAAAATCGAAGTCATCTATGAGAAGGGCAGAGTCAGGAATTAGAGAATGGGTCCAAGATTCTGTTACATATATAATATCAGGCGTCATTTCCAGAGCAGTGGCTCTGATTTGGGCCATCTTGTTTATAACAGACCTGGCATTCAACCGACCGGAACGGAGGACGGCGCTAGTGGCACGAGAACTGGCGCGCTACAAGGTGGACATCGCCGCACTCAGCGAGACCCGATTCTCCGAAAAAGGCCAACTGGAGGATGTGGGTGCCGACTACACCTTCTTCTGGTGTGGTCGACCCAGGGCAGAGCGACGTGACGCGGGTGTCGCCTTTGCCATCCGGACTGACATCGTGGGACGACTGCCCTGTCTGCCGCAAGGAATCAATGACCGCCTGATGAGCCTTCGCCTGCCTTTCCGGCGAGGAGGCAAATTCGCCACCATCATCAGCGCCTACGCTCCGCCGATGAGCAGCCCCGACGCCGTCAGAGACAAATTCTACGAGGACCTGCACGCCCTCTTGGCGACTGTGTCGAAGGCGGACAAGTTGATTGTCCTTGGTGACTTCAACGCCCGCGTCGGCACAGACCATACTGCCTGGAGGGGAGTGCTGGGTCCTCACGGTCTCCGCGGCTCCAACGACAAGGGTCTGCTGCTTATCCGCACCTGCGCAGAACACCGCCTCATCCTAAAGAACACCTTCTTCTGTCTGCCGGAGCGAGAGAAGGCCACCTGGAGGTATCCTCGGTCGCGCCAGTGGCACCTGCTGGACTATGTCCTCGTCCGGAGGCGAGATCAGCGGGACGTGCTGGTGACGAAGGCGATCGCGGGTGCTGACGGGTGGACCGACCATCGCCTCGTCATCTCGAAGATGCGTATTCGCCTACAGCCTCGTAGGAGACCACAAGGTAAGCGACCCCCAGGTAAGCTGAATGTTGCCTTGTTGTCTTTGCCCGCTCACCATCTTCATTTCAGCAATGAGCTAGCTCAAAGGCTAGACAACCTTCCTATCGCTGCCGACGCCGCCGCTGCCGAGAACGCCTCCGTGAAGAACCGCTGGTGTCAACTGCGAGACACGGTCCAGTCGACGGCGCTCGCCGTCCTCGGTCGCGCTCTCCGCCAACACCAGGACTGGTTCGACGACAACGACGCCGCCATCAGAAATCTGCTAGCTGAGAAGAACCGCCTACACAAAGCCTACGTAGATCACCCCACTGATGCCACCAAAGCTGCCTTCTACCGCAGTCGCCGCCAACTTCAGGAACGACTGCGCGAGATGCAGGACGTCTGGACTGCTCGCAAAGCTGAGGAGATCCAAGGCTACGCGGACCGCAACGAATGGAAGAACTTCTTCTCTGCGATCAAAGCTGTCTACGGTCCGCCGACGAAGGACACTGCTCCTCTCCTCAGCGCCGACGGCAGCACTCTCCTGACTGAGAAGACGCAAATCCTACAGCGATGGGCCGAGCATTTCCGAGGCGTCCTCAACCGCCCTTCCGTCATCTCCGACGCCGCCATCGAGCGTTTGCCGCAAGTGGAGACCAACGTGGACCTCGACCTTCCGCTATCTCTCCAGGAGACCATCAGGGCCGTGCAGCAACTCTCCAGCGGGAAGGCACCCGGATCGGACGCAATCCCTGCTGAGGTCTACAAGCGCGGAGGTCCCCTACTGATGGATCACCTGACTGCGCTCTTCCAGGAGATGTGGCGTCAAGGTGAAGCCCCGCAAGACTTCAAAGACGCAACTATCGTGCACCTATAGAAGCGAAAAGGGAATCGCCAAGTCTGCGACAACCACCGCGGCATCTCCCTACTGAACATCGCCGGGAAGATCTTCGCTCGCATCCTGCTCAACCGCCTCAACAACCATCTGGAACAGGGCCTTCTGCCAGAAAGCCAGTGCGGCTTCCGTCGTCATCGTGGGACCACGGATATGATCTTCGCAGCCCGCCAACTTCAGGAGAAGTGCCAGGAGATGCAGACCCACCTGTACTCTACCTTTGTGGACCTGACGAAAGCCTTCGACACGGTGAATCGTGAAGGACTGTGGAAGATCATGCAGAAATTCGGCTGTCCGGAGCGATTCACTCAGATGGTGCGTCAGCTGCACGACGGTATGATGGCGCGAGTCACGGACAACGGAGCTGTCTCAGAGGCATTCGCAGTGACCAACGGAGTGAAGCAGGGCTGTGTGCTGGCGCCTACCCTCTTCAGTCTCATGTTCTCTGCCGTGCTGATGGACGCCTACCGCGACGAACGCCCCGGGATCCGCATCGCCTACAGAACGGACGGTCATCTCCTGAATCAACGGCGCATGAACTTCCAATCGCGTGTATCCACAGCCACCGTGCACGAACTCCTCTTCGCCGACGACTGCGCCCTGAACACCACCTCGGAAGAGGAGATGCAACGGAGCATGGACCTATTCTCCGCCGCCTGCGAGAACTTCGGTCTGATCATTGACACGCAGAAGACGGTGGTGATGCGCCAACCGCCGCCCAACTCAGCCACAGCCCCCAACGCGCCGCACATCAACGTGAATGGGACCCAACTGCAAGTGGTGGAGAACTTCCCGTATCTGGGCAGTACCCTCTCCCGCAACACCAAGATTGATGACGAAGTCGCCAACAGGATCTCGAAAGCCAGTCAAGCCTTCGGACCCCTCCAAAGCACAGTCTGGAATCGCCACGGTCTCCAACTGAGCACAAAGCTGAAGATGAACAAGGCCGCCATCCTGCCGACGTTACTGTACGCAGCAGAGACATGGACGATGTACACGAGACAGGCACGCCGACTGAATCACTTGCACCTCAGTTGTCTCCGTCGCATCCTGAGGCTGAACTGGCAGGATCGAATCCCCGACACGGAAGTACTGGAACGAACGGGAATCCCCAGCATCTACGCCATACTGAAACAAATGCAGCTGCGCTGGAGCGGCCACCTGGTGCGCATGGACGACGAGCGACTACCCAAACGACTCTTCTACGGAGACGTCGCGACGGGTTCTCGTCGTCAAGGAGGCCAGTTTCGCCGTTACAAGGATACCCTGAAGTCCTCCTTGAAGCACCTGCAAATCAACCCGACCAACTGGGAAGATCTCGCCCGCGATCGTCCGACATGGAGGAGAACAGTGAAGACGGGCGCTGCTATCTACGAAACCAACCGAATCGCCGCCGCCAAAGCGAAACGCGAAGCCCGCAAATCACAACTTCGCCCAGTCCGCAACGCCGCCGCACAACCTCCCCCTACGTGTCCTCGATGTCAACGGACATTTCGGGCACGAATCGGACTTGTTGGACATCTTCGAATCAACTGTGCCTCTCGAACTGCTCCAGCCATCGTCCCCCGCCCGCCTCTTCCTCGTCCTCTCTACCACCAACTAACTCTGATAACTCTTCTGAACCACCACTTCCATCCTCCTCGTCGTCCACCTCCTCCTCCCTCTCCACTGCCCCAGCAGCGGCCGTTCAGACTGCTTCCTCTACAGCTGACACCGACACCGCCGACCTCTCATGCCCACATTGTTCACGCACCTTCACCTCGCGCATCGGCTTGGTCGGTCACTTGCGAATCCATCGCACAGAGACTGGCGAACTAGTGCCTGGAGCACCAACCTACACCCACCGCACTCGCCTCCACTGCCCACACTGCCCTCGCACCTTCACGCATCGCATGGGTCTATTCGGCCACATGCGCATCCACGACGACCTGCGGTAGACAACCGCCGGTCACACCACACATTCCCTCACTCCCTACCTCCTGACACTATCACCCCACCAGACATCAACCCTCACACTCCTCATGCACTCAACTACCGCCTCCCACGCAAGTGGGAAGTGTGCATCTTGACTCGGTCCCCATGCGGCTTCGGCTGCACGGGTGACTTGAGTCCGAGACTATCCCGACACGTCAAGCGTCGTGGATAGGAAGGTTGCTGATTGAGGCCTGCTCTCGGTTCACACAGTTCGTCACGTTGTGTGTGTGTTGTGTGTAGTGGCGGACTGGTGGGCTGGGGATGGGCTGAAGCAGCACCTTCCACGGCCCTCTCACGCAAGTGGGAGACACGCCGTTCTACCCCTGTTGTGTGAAATCCTGGTGTTTGTGTGTATGGGGGGCCAGGTCGTGCTGTGGCGCGCGCAGGCATGGTCAGTTGACCATGTCAGCCACCGCGCCCATTCCCCACTCCAGTCTGCTGACCGGCTCGGACAGCGGCTGGGGTGTGGGAGTGGGAAGGGAGAGTGAGGTCGACGACTCAGCGCACTTTCTCCTCACTATAAACAATCTGACGCGCTTGAAGCTATCACGGTGCGCTAAAAGCCGTGGCTTGGAAGGTTGCCAACTGACGGGGTACCTTGGACCTCCTCCTTCACTGGAGGCGGTCTGAGAGTCAGGCTGCAATGGCTCCTTTTTAATGTGGCCTTTATGGCACTCCTACCACAGTGTGGGATCCGAGCCAGGCGTTGGCGGCACGCCCAGGTGCGGCTTCGGCCGTGCCAGCCTCCAAATCTCTGTTGTGTTGGTTGAAATCCTGGTTATTGTTGTGTGGACCAGGGGGTGTGGTGGAACGCCAAGGTGAGGATCCGTCCGAGCTATCCACCTGCGGCCTCCCTCGTCTCCGGTCTTCTTGACTCTGTCTTGACACCGGGCCCAGGCGGGGGAGGAGGAGAGAGTGTAGGTAGATTCAGCGCAAGTCTACCCGCACTATAAACCCCTGCGCAAGTCACCGTCCCTGCTCCCACCGCTGCTGCAGCTGTGGGGCATACGGTGGACATCGTCGAAATCGACGGTCGAACTGTCATCTAATGTGTTTCGAACGGCAATGCTATTTTCGACGGTATTTGAAAAAATTTGGAGGCGGATATGTAAGCTGTGAGTTAATGACACTTGGAGAATAAGTACCAGTTAGTCTAGAGTTATTGACGTACGGGGAGTCAGCAAGAGAAGGCTGAGTATGCGACCTAAAGGATGTGAGGATATAGTTTTCAAACATTGAAATGCTAGGGGAGTTAGAACATGGATAGACTTGTAGATAGACAGATAGATAAGTTTTTATTAAAGACCCGTCGGGGTCCCATCAAAGCAAGCTAAAATAAATTTACATGCGAGTTTAAGACGAGGTAGGCCGAATCTTTACAAAATGCAATTCATAGTTTCTGAATTAGTAGTCCAATGAGAAACATGATGATTGAGGGGTGAAAAAAAAACTCCTTAAAAAAAGATAAAAATGATTGGATTAATTTTACAGGAGAAAAAAACCCCTTAATAAAAATCATGACAGAAAAAACGAGCAGGACTGGCCTGTAGGTGGCAGTATATAACGTAATGTTGACGGTCATCGTCAGGGTAGCAATAAATCTCAGCCTTGAGGGGTAGGAGTGCGGTACAGATAGGACTGGCCTGCATGTGGTATTGTATACGGGATTCACGGTTGAGATCGTCTGGGCCAGATTGATACGCCGCATGAGACTATTCGCGTCAAAGAGGCCAGACGAGAGGAACCCAGAGGCGATCGGCAACAGCACGCTTCGAGCTCAGCCGAGCAGTGGGGAAGGAAGGTACGACCAAACTACTAGTAGACGGCGAATACTGAGGGTTCCGCCCTGCGCGCTGACAGACAGCATGAGGTCGGAATGCGGCAGATGACATCAAAAACCGCGAAAATTGTCGCTATGGGGGAGGAGTGATCGCAGTTGATTTAGAAACCAATCCAAAACAGGGGTTTCTAATGATATAATTAAGAGCTACCTCTTAATCTACCATTAAATCCCAGGAGGACCCTTCTCGAAGTCAAGAATCTGAGTGTTCGGGAATGAGACCGTTAACAGTGCCTTTATGCTTTCCGGTGTAAGATGTTTGCGTAATTTCGACTTGAATACCAGTAACTTGTAGGTAGTTAAATAGTGGATGAAGGGGAGGAGAAGGGAGCCTAGAAAAAATGTAGGTGCTAGTGGGTGAGGGTAGGCTGCTATAAGAATAAAAGGGTGGGAAACCAGGTGTAGGTTGGAAGTCAAATGAGGTAGGTTGACGTACCTTAGAGCAATTGGCCTTAAGTGGCGGGAAGCCTGAACTTGGTTGGGGCATAAGTGACTTAGGGCAATTCATGTATGAATTATTTACTGGATCTATAGTAGGGCTTTGATAAGTGACCGGTACGCAGGACAGAGAATTATTCGGGGATATAATTGGAGCTGCGGGGTTTGTAGATGTGCTGGGCTGAACAGAATTGTTAGGTCTAAGAGAAGGCGTCGTACCCCTAAATGGAACTGTTCTACCTATCTTTTGGGTTGGAGTCTAATTCAATTTTCGAGTCTCACCGTTCTGACGCCAAGCCGCAGGTGACTTAACTGTAGACCTTACAGCACCCAGTTGGACAAGAGAAGTTATCGATCTAGCTGATGTAGACGTATTTTCATGTGTCTCAGCGTGACTATCCGGACGATACGAAACGACAAATCGGGCTGCTGCTGCTGCTGCTGCTAGTTTAGAGGCAGGCAAATGTGTCAAGCGGCTTGAATGAGATGGAGATGTAGGAGAAAGAGGAAGGAGGGAGTCAGATGTCGCAGGAGTAGGACAAGCTGAATCCTCACGGCCACTTGTATTATGACCAAGTTGGTGAGCATTAGACTGAGAAGCAGTGGGTTTACGTGAGAATAGAGACTCGATTCTACGCTCCATAGGAGTAAGATCATGACAAAGGAAAAATTTTGCATTTTCTAGGTATGCAGTGACACGCTCTCGATGGGCAAAAATTGTGTCAACCTCAATTGATGAAAATAATTTGACTAAGATGGGTGGATTTTTGCTACGGGAGGACAAGCGTTTGGCATCGGCTATTTTGTAGTTGAAACCACATGAATACAGGAAATTGGTCGCAACATCAACCGGCCGAGCAGATCGAGGAACATTTTTTAACAGAATGTTGTAAGAACGCTTCTGTCTATCACCAGATTCACTGGCGATCAGGTGAACAAGTGAGTCGAGACGCCTACATTCTTCAGAGGGAATATCGGAGATGTTCCTGTCGAATAAATTTCCAAGAATTGTCAGCAAAGTGCCAAACGTTAGCATTAAGTCATTGCAGTGGTCAAGTGCAGACAGATTAAGCTGCCGACCAATTACAACTGATGACAACTGACTAGTAATATCATCTGACGTAGGTTTAGGTAAAGCTTCTGACTTACGTTTAGTTAGACCATGCTTACTTACAGAGGCGGGAATTCGAGAAGAAATTGACACAAAAAGCAACGCAGGATCCAAAATTACTCCACAGCCACCTCCGAGGAAGTACAAGAAACAGTCATATAATCCCCTTAATAAGGACTACTGATGGCGTTGAGATTGCTGATAGTAGGGATAAAGCTGAGTATTTCTCACAGTTTTTTTTAATCAGTCTACACAAACGAGGCAAGGTTCCTTCCTCCCTCCACAGAAGAACTGCCGACCCCAAGCCTCAGTGATATACTCTTCTCAGAAGGCATTGTCCGACAGAATTAGAGGCACTGACCAAATGAAAGTCGCCAGGACCAGATGAGATTCCACCCAAGCTTCTTAAGAAACTTGCCAATGAGCTTTCTGTGCCTTTGTTGATACTGTTTCAAACGCCATTTGACACTGGAACACTGCCTATCGATTGAAAGCTGGCGCATATTGCTCCACTATACAAAGAAGGTTGCAGGGCATCGACGGCTCATAAGCTTGATATTTATTATCTGCAAAGTCATGGAAAGGATCATAGGGAGTGAACTGATGCGATTCCTGGAAGTTCACAGCCTGTTATTGAAATGCCAACATGGGCTCCGGGAAGGAAGATCCTGCACGACAAACTTGCTGCAAGATCTCCAGAGCTGGACCCGAGCTCTCGATGACAGGCACGCGGACCACATAGCCTCCATCGACATCCAGAAGGCTTTCTACACTGTCACACGAGAGGCTCTTACATAAACTAAAAATTAGAAATTGGTGGCAATTTCCCTAAATGGATCAAAAACTTCCTTTTGGGTCGACACCAGGTTGTGTGCATCGGTCAAGGGAAATCAGATCCTGCTATGGTCGAGAGTAGTGTCCCCCAGGGTTCAGTACCGGGATCCATTTTGTTCCTTACATACGTGGACGATGCTGCAAGATCCTTAGTCTACGAAGTAACAATGTTTGCCGATGACCTGAAGATATGGATTGTAATTCGGGGTCCTGCCGATGAAGACAGACTGCAGATGAACCTGAACTCAACTATTGGAGCAGTTGGAGAAATTTTCCAGTCGACCTAACATCATGATCATGGGCGACTTCAACGCACCAGGAACAAACTGGAATACCCTCCAAGCGTCAGGTCCAAAATCGGCATTCGATTACCGCCTGTTGAGCAAGACATTAAATGCGTGCCTCATACAACATGTAATGTTCCCAACGAGAACACGTGAAGGACAAAGGGCAAACTGCCTGGATCTGGTCTTTACGAAAACACCAGACAGCATAGACGAGATCGCCTCCATGCCGCCCCTTGGCCGAAGTGACCACGTAGTGCTTATGTGGGATTATTCGTTATTCTCCATTTTACACACTCCAGGCCACAAAAGGCGTAATGTTTGGCGGGGCGATTTCAATCAGATGAGGGCAGACTTATCCGGTCTTGACTGGGGCTCTTTGTTTACGGGAAGTGCCAACGATGACTGGGAGCTGTTCAAGAATGTCCTTCTGCAGCTCATCAGCAACCACTGCCCACTGACTAGTGTAAGACTGAACAAACGCCCTGGGTGGCTAAATAGCAACCTCAAGAAAGAAATCAACAGGAAGCACAAACTGTGGAGAAAATACTGCGTCACTAGACAAGCTGAATGCTTCAACACCTACAAGACACAGAGGAACAAACTGCGGAAGCTGATAATTCAGACGCGACGGGAATTCGAGAAGAACTTGCTACAAAAAGCAACGCAGAACCCAAAATTGCTCTACAGTTACCTCCGACGAACTACAAGGAACAGGCATCAAATCCCCTTGATAAAGACTACTGATGGCGTTGAGATCGCTGATAGTAGGGATAAAGCTGCGTATTTTTCACGGTTTTTCCAATCAGTCTATACAAACGAGGCAAGGTTCCTTCCTCCCTCCACAGAAGAACTGCCGACTCCAAGCGTCAGTGATATACTCTTCTCAGAAGGCATTGTCCGAAGAGAATTAGAGGCAGGACCAAACGAGATTCCATCCAAGCTTCTGAAGGAACTTGCCCGTGAGCTCTCTGTGCCTTTGTCGATGCTCTTTCAAACGTCATTTGACACTGGAACACTTCCTGTCGATTGGAAGCTGGCGCATATTACTCCGCTATACAAAGGAGGTAACAGGGCAGCGACGACAAATTACCGGCCCATAAGCTTGACATGCATTCTCTGCAAAGTTATGGAAAGGATCATAAAGTGTGAACTAATGCAATTCCTGGAAGTTCACGGCCTGCTATCGAACTGCCAACATGGGTTCCGAAAAGGAAGATCCTGCACGACAAACCTGCTGCAATCTCTCCAGAGCTGGACCCAAGCCCTCGACGACAGGCACGCGGTCCACATAGCCTTCATAGACTTCCAGAAGGCTTTCGACACTGTGCCACACCAAAGGCTCTTACATAAGCTGAAAAAAATAGGGATCGGTGGCAACTTCCATAAATGGATCGAAAACTTCCTTGTGGGTCGACACCAGGTTGTGTGCGTCGGTCGGGGAAAATCAGATCCGGCTATGGTCGAAAGTGGTGTCCCCCAGGGTTCAGTACTGGGACCCATTTTGTTCCTTATCTACGTAGATGATGCCGCAAGAGATTTGGACTGTGAAGTAGCAATGTTTGCGGATGACATGAAGATATGGAGTGTAATTCGTGGTCCTGCCGATGAAGACAGACTGCAGATGAACCTGAATCGGTTGGAGGAGTGGTCAAACCGTTGGCTCCTGCGGTTCAACGTTGCCAAATGTAGCATACTTCGCCTAGGCAACACAGCCAGATCCGCCAGCACAAGAGGCTACTTTCTGGGCGGTGCAGCCCTACAAGAGGTCGAAGCCCAAAAGGACCTCGGTGTGCTTACGACGAGTTCCCTAAAACCATCCGCCCACTGTTCGAGGGTGGCAAAAACCGCAATGTCCGTACTGTACGACATCAAGCGTGCGTTTATGGACTTTGACGAAGAAGCCTTCTCTAAGACATTCGGAACATTCGTCCGGCCGCATTTAGAGTACGGCATACAAGCTTGGAGGCCGTGGGGTGTTGTGGATCAAAACTGCCTCGAAAGAGTCCAGAGGAGAGCCACGAAGATGGTCAGGGGTCAAAGTTCCTTTCCTTATGCGACCCGCCTAGTAAATCTGAACCTCTTTCCTTTGAGTTACAGGCAACTTCGCGGAGATCTCTTGCAAGCCTTCCGCATTGTAACGGGGTTGGATTGCAGTCTGGCCTTCGAGGACTTTTTTGAATTTGCTACCACGACCAAACTCCGAGGTCACCCGTTAAAACTGCGCACTCAGCAGGCACGGCTGGATGTGCGGAAGTTCTCCTTCTCGGTTCGGGTGGTCAAACCGTGGAATGAGCTTCCCGCAGATGTTGTGATGTCACCATCTATACAAGTTTTAAGAAGAATCTGGACATATTTATGTTCCGAAATGACCAAGAGCGATGAGAAGTCGAGCTCACCCCTGTAACTCCTTCTCATTTTGTCCCACCATTATGGGCGTGTTCGAACTATTTCAGTCCAGAACATCTTTCTGTACACCACACATTTTTTACGTTGCAAATAGGGCACTCAAAGGCTTACGCCTATTTCCCTCAATAAACTGAACTGAACTGAACTGAATCGGTTGAAGGAGTGGTCAGACCGTTGGCTCCTGCGGTCCAACGCCGGTAAATGTAACATACATCGTCTGGGCAACATAGCCAGATACACCAGCGCAAGAGACTACTTTCTGGGCGATGCACCATTACGAGACGTCAAAGCCCAAAACTACCTCGGTGCGCTGACGATGAGTTTCCCAAAACCATCCGCTCACTGCTCGAGAGTGTCAAAAAGCGCAATGTCCGTACAGTACGCCATCAAGCGTGCGTTTATGGACTTTGACGAAGATGCTTTCTCAAAGACATTCGGAACATTCCTCCGGCCGCATTTGGCGTACGGCATGCAGCCTGAAGACCGTTGGCGGTTTAGGGTCAAAACTGCCTCGAAAGAGTTCAGAGGAGAGCCAAGAAGATGGTTAGGGGGCAAAGGTTCTTTCCTTATGCAACCCGCCTAGTAAATCTGGATCTCTTTCCTTTGAGTTACAGGCAACTTCATGGGGATCTCTTGCAAGCCTTCCGCATTGTTAGGGGGTTGGACTGCAGTCTGGCCTTCGAGGACTTTTTTGAATTTGCTACCACGACCAACCTCGAGGTCACCCGTTTAAACTGCGCACTTAGCAGGCAATGCTGGATGTGCGGATGTTCTCCTTCTCTGTTCGAGTGGTAAAATCATGGAATACCCTTCTCGCAGACGTGGTGCTGTCACCATTAATACAACGTTTTTAAAAGAATCTTGACATATTTATGTTCGCAAATGACCAATAGCGATGAGAAGTCAAGCTCATCCCCTGTAACTCGTTCCCATTTTGTCCTACCATTGTGGGCTCGTTTAAATTATTTCAGGCCAAAACATTTTTTCTGTATACCACACGTTTTTGAGTTGCAAATAGGGTACTCAAAGGCTTACGTCTATTGTCCTCATTAAACTTAATTGACAGCCAGTCTTGTTCCATTATATAAGGGAAATAGCTGGATGACAGCAATCAGCTCCAGGCCAGTTAGCTTGACTTACCTATCATGCAACTCCATGAAAGTTCTAGGAAAGGGTGCTATAAAGCAATTTGGTTAAGAAAATAACACCATACAGGATTTCCATTATGTCGCCCGGAGAGGACGTTTCTGCCTCTCAAATGTGCTAACTTGTCTAAAGGTCTAGGTCAGTGCTTCAGAAGAAGGCTTCGAGGTCGGTGTCAATTCAATTCAATTCAATTCAATTATTTTTATTAAAGACCCGTCGGGGTCCCATCAAAGCAAGCAAAAATAAATTTACATGCAAATTTTAGACGATGTAGGCAAAATCTGCACAAAGTGCAGTGTATAGTTTTTGAGATTAGAAGTCCGTTAAGCAAAATGAAAATGAAAAAAACGAGGGGTGAAAAAAAAAACTCCAAAGCAAAATTTAAAAATGATTGTAGTAATTTAACAGGAGACAAAAACCCCTCAGGAAAATAGCATCAGAAAAAAACAGGGAGAACTGGCCTGCATGTGGCGGTACAAAATGGAATATAGTCCGACATCAACATGGCCGAAATAAATGTCAGCTGTATATGGCATTGTGTAACGGATTTCATAAAATGGTAGGTAGGCGGGTCGGTCAGGACCGGCCTGTATCGCCTTGAATAAGAAAAATAAGTGGAGAAATTTAAAACCAGTCTCAAGCCGATAGGAACCCAGATGCGGTCGGTTTCATTCAACCGAGTCCATCCGAACATGGGGGAAGGGAGATGCGACCAGACTACTAGTATATGGCGAATATAGAAGGCTTTGTCAAGACCGCCGATGGAGCGCATTCTGTAAGGGCACGATGACAACCAGTCTCGAGGCGACAAGAACCCAGATGCGGTCTGTTACATTCATCAGAGTCCATTCGAGGATAGGGCAAAGGAGATGCGACCAGATTACTAGTATATGGCTAATATAGAAGGCTTCGCCAAGAGCATCGATGGAGCGCATTCAGTGAGGGCATCATGAAGATCAGTCCCGAGGCGATAGGAACCCAGATGCGGTCGGTTACATTCATCCGAGTCCAACCGAGGATGGGGGAAGGGAGATGCGACCAAACTACTAGTATATGGCGAATACAGAAGGTTTCGCCAAGAGCGTCGATGGCGCGCATTCTGTGAGGGCACGATGCATGAACTAAAAAATTGGAATAATTAACATTTCTGGTGAGGGATCTTAGGTAACGAGACTACTTATAAAGGAAGGAAACGTGAACAGATACGGAAATTTAATAGCGGCATGCTAAATTCCCAGTGGCCCTTTCTCAGTGTCATAGAAAAAGTTGTCTGGGAAGGATGAGGAAAATAAAAGTTTAATCGAGTCAGTATTCAGATAAAGGCGTAGCCTTCTCTTAAAGGTGTGTAGATTTTCTGAAGATCTTATATTTATTGGAAGGTTATTCCAGAGGAAAGTATACCTGGAAGCGAAAAAAAGGGAGCGCTCAGAGGGGAAGGACGCTGGAAGAGGTATAATTAGAGACGAGTTGCGAAGGTTGTATGGGCGACTACTAGGGGTAAGCGTTGAAATCCGAGGAAAATTTGAACTACGATTAATGCGAAAGAGGAGACAGAGGCCCGCTTCTAGTCTTCGAACCCATAAAAATTTTAGGTTAATTAGCTGACATCTATCTGAGTAGGAGATATTGGGATGTTCCCTATCTAAAAGTTTTTTAGAAAAACGTCTTTGGACATTTTCAATTTTTAAACGACTGGCTTCATTCATCAAACCAAAGAATGGGCAACAATACTCGAGAATGGGAAGTACAAACATACGATAGAGCCTTAATTTAATTTCAGGAAGATAGAAATTGTAAGAAATAAAGCCACAAATCTGGGCAGCTTTGGCTGTAATTCTGTCAGCGTGCGGCGAGAGATCAAGATTACTAGTGTAGCTCAAACCTAAATCCTTGATGGTGGTACATTCAGTCATAGGTGTTCCTTGAAAGACCACAGGTTGGGGTAGCCTATCAGGTCCAAAACACATATAACGACATTTAGACGGGGAGAATTCCATTAGCCATTTTGAGCTCCAAGCTGAGAGAGCAAGCAAGTCAGCATGGATTTGCTCCAGGCAATGAAGGCTCGTAGATTTATTGAAAGAATATACACATTTGAGATCATCGGCATAAATAAATGATTGAGAATGTTTAACTGCTGCTGAAATATCATTTATGTAAAGCAAGAACAAAAGAGGACCTAAAACGGTACCTTGTAGGACACCGCTCACAATAGGACTTTCACTGGAAAGTGAAGATCCCACCAAAACCTTTTGTTTACGATTAGACAGGTATGACCTGAGAAAGTCTATTAGTGGACTGCGAATTCCCATAGCTTCCAATTTAATCAAGAGTCTTTTATGTGGCACTATATCAAAGGCTTTACTAAGATCAAAATAAAAAACGACAACAGATAGGTGATCATTACGTAGAGAGGTTAGTAGATCGAGAAACGACAGATGACGTGTTTCACAAGAGCGATCTGGTAAAAAACCATGCTGGGAAGGGCTAATAACTTGATTGGCTATGCAAAATTCGGTAATTTTTACGGCGATAATTTTTTCGAAGATTTTGGCGAGAGAGGGTGTTTTATGGACACCTCGATAGTTCTGTACGTCAGAACGACAGCCAGATTTAAATACTGGAATAATAATAGAAGTTTTCCAATAGTCAGGGAAGAAGCCATTTACGAGAAATACTGAAAAGATTTTGCAAAGCAGAGGAGGAAAATCTCTTAGCTGTTTTATCAAAGAGTTTGGGATATTGCCCGTACCTACTGAGTGAGAGTTAGGAAGATGGCTTATCAGTTTTTGAATACATTCAGGAGAAAAATTAATGAAGCTAAGAGAAGCACCAGACAACGAAGGAATTAAAGGGATCGGATCAGTTTCAATGGTGAAATGCTTGGCAAAGAACGAATTTAAAATTTCTGCTTTGCCTGACTCCTCTGCAATGAAGGCATCACTTGCACTAAGCAAGGGCGGAATGACTTGGTGGGACTTAGCAGATGATCTCTGACGGAAGATCTGAGCAACTGATTTAGAAGAATTCACGTCATTAATAGCTAAAGACTCTCTACGCCTATCTCGCTCGAGCCTCATTTTCGAAGCTAGTTCAAATATTTCAACGATTCTTAGATGAACTGATAATGAACTCACAGAAGGATCTTTAAACTGCTTCCGTAACTTTTTAAGTCTGTTTTTAAGAAAGTGTGGGATAGTGGTGGAATTAGCACTCGGTTTGAACATCTTCCGAGGAATAAGGTCAAGAAGACCTTCTGTTACGCATTGTAATAAATTGTTGAAAAAATTTAGATCATTATTTGAAAAAATATTGTGCCAATCAAGAGTGCATGTAAAGTTATTTACTAATTCCTTATTAACATTAGCAAACTCAAAAATACTACGTTGAACTGTTGGCTTTGCGGAAATGGCAACTGGAAGGCGACAATGGATTAATGCATGATCACTTGCAAAGAGGTCATGATAAAAATCCATAGATAAAGGGAAGGTGCCATTAGTAAAAATTAAGTCTAAAACACTATCGTTTCTGGTCGAAGAGTGAACTAATTGAGTCAGGTTTGAAAAGTAAATTGTGTCAAGCAGCTTCTGTCGTGTACATTGGTTTTTAAAAGGCGTTCGATGCTGTTCCGTACAAACGCCTTCTTCATAAACTGGTAGTGACATTTAAGTGCGTTTTGTTTTACTCAGTTACAATACGCATTTTAAATAAACTTGACACAACTTTGAATAAGGCATAGAACAACGATATGCACTTTTACCTGCAGAAGACTTTGTTCTTATTTATTAGTTTTTTAACTTTTGGAATACTTCTATCTTTGTTGTCTGGATAGCCTGCTTACTGCCAAACAAACTGAGCGTGCTCCGTATTTAAAGAAGTCTTCTGAACTGGGTAAGGGCGTTTCTGATTGGTCCAAATTGGCGTGTTCGTATCGCGGATGATATGTCAGACTGGGCGAGCGTGACTAGTGGAGTGACTCAAGATTTAGTTCTAGTGCCCTTATTCTTCATCACATGTGATAACGATAGCCTTCAAGGATTTAACTGCGGCGAAATAATGTTTTCCGATGAAGTTATACTCTGACAAACCATCAAGGGCTAGAATGACCGGGAAGTCCTTCAAAGTGATCTCTACCGACGGCAAACGTGGTCCGATAAATGGCTTCTGGATTTCAATGTGCAGATATGTGTCGTCCTTCATCCGCGTCCAACCAACTGCCATTCAAATTACGGAATTAGTTTCCCTGCCCATCACCACCTCCCCCAAATCGTACTCCCCCTTATCCACATTAAAATCACTTTATGCTACAAAATTTTTGCATAACCGGACAGGTGCAACCGGACCATATATTACATGGGCAGCCGAATGCCGGACGACGTAGCTCACTTCCCTCCGAAACGGTCTTTCCCTTTAGACTTTTTTCTAAATGCCAGATCCTTGCTAAATAAGATGCCTTTGCTGCAGACCCTGGTCTTCGTCCATTGCCCAGATATTATTTTAGCAACTGCGAAATGGGCAACAGCCTCCGTAACTGACTCTGAACTCTATTCTAGGCCACATTTGCATTCGCAGTTATCGTCATGACAGTCGTGGTTGGGGAGGTCGCATCTACATTAAACAGGTACATGCATTTCTGCCGCTGGACCTTTCGCATTTTTTGCGGTAAAAGGCAGCTGCAGTCTCCAAGTTGTTTTAAAAGTTTAGTTCTTTTTACTAGTCGGCTGAATCCATCGTCTACTCATCGTTGCATCTCAGTCATTTCATGCTGCAGTCGAATTAATCTTCAAGTGTCAAGTGATTGCGGGTGACTTCAAGTTAACTGAAGTCCGTTGGTTTTCGCCTTCCGGCCTCAAAATCTTCAAACTCTTAAACCAGGCCGTGGATGTTAGGATGTGGATTCAGGTTCTTGATTATCCCACCCGAGGATCAAGCATACTTGACCTAATTTTCTATAGAGATTTCATGCCCCTTTCACTGTCATCCCTGGGCCCAGTCGGGAGCTCTGTGCTCGGATCAGTTTGGATTAATTTATGCCAACGGCTATATGAATGGGCTGGGCTGCAGTGGAGTCATGTTTGCTGATGATTTCAAGTTATGGCGAGCGGTCAACGGGGAAAATAATGAACTGGCCCTGCAAGATGGCCTAAACCGCCTACGCGAGTTGTCCGACAAATGGCTGCTCAAGTTTCACCTTAAAAGTGCGCCGCACTGCGACTCAAAACGAATGGAAGAGCCGATAGAGAGGATCATCAATACCTGCTTGGCGGAAGTTGCCTTTCAACTGCAAGCAGTTTTTTCTCCTGAACACTCCAAACCATAAAAACCACTATCACCTATATTTTTATTCCTTTTCCACAGGAGTTTTTTTCACTGCTGGCCGGATCTGTGTTTAACGCTGCCCTGACAATGCCTGTAAACTGGCATTAAATAAAAATTAATACTATTATTATTAAGTATAACCGAACAAAAGGGTCTTGGGATCAACATTTTGTCGTCTCTTAAGCCCTTCACTCAATGCGTTAGACCGGCCAAAAGAGCAACCAGTGTTCTCTCTGGCATTAAACAAAATTTCCTACATATAGACAAAGAGTTATTTGGAAAGGTATACGCAGCATTCATTCGTTTGCATCTGGAATATGGGATCCAAGCCTGGCGCCCGTGGTTGAAAAAAGACTATAAGTTGCTGGGAAGAGTTCAGAGGAGAACGACCAGAATAGTGAAAGTCCTCAAAACTATACCTTACAACTGCAGACCTGATGAGCATAACCTATTTCCCCTTGAGTACAGACAGATTCGAGGAGATCTCATACAGGCGTATTGGATTTTGAGGAACCGGGACTGTGCCCTGCACCTCGATGATTTCTTCGCCATGGCCACAACGATAAACCTGCGTGGGAACTCTCTTAAACTTCGAAGATCCCGATGCCGCCTAGAGGTTCGCAGGTACTTTCTTTCACAACGAATCGTCGGTGCCTGGGACGGGCCTCCCGAGGACGTGATAAAGGTGGATTACACGGAGATATTTAAACAAAGACCTGATGTATATTTTCTTGAAAAATGCCGCTTATTTGGACAGAACAGTCCTTTTATACCAGACCGACGCCTTATATACAGTTGCCGCAAATGCGGACGATTGTCACTTCATTTTGCTGTCATAACCTACAACTGAGTGTCCTCGAATTTCGACCTTGCATTTTTAAAGACGATTTTCTGTAGATGTACATATTACTGACAATATTTTAGTACCTTCTTTATTTACAGTTAGATATTGTAATTACCGATTTCAATAGGGCTTTCGAGGGCAGTGCCTATAAACCTTAAAATATGCTGACGTATATGCTGACCTAAAGTTGTTTGTACAACAAAACTCGAGGCTGACAAAATTCTATTCCCAAAGTATAACCTCTTCTTCGAATTCCGGTCATCAAGCCCGGCCGAATTATTAACACGCCTTAATTCCTACGACTGGACTGATTTATTCCTTAGTTCGGATGTAAATATTTGGACTGAAAAATTGCACGATAATCTGAATCTGCTATTTTCTTGATTTATTCCTTGTAGGGAAATAATAGATGTCGCGGACGAGGTTTTCCCACCCTTGCCCTTTTTCCATAGGCTGAGCAGACTCTCTCATCCATCCTATCCGCAAGACTACTGTTCCGTTCCGCCCTCGATTTGTCATAATTTCGACCAGGCTAAGAGATTGTCCGAAGAAAAACAGCTAGTCAAAGATGTCCACTTTGCCGAAAACTGCTTGTTAAATGCCGCTTAACTTTTTTTCTCGAAAGTAAGATCTCAGATAAAGACTCAGTATCCCACACACTGAGACCCTTTCGGGAGTCCCGTAGCTGATGTCCATTTGACCGCTGCTAGTTTCAATGTTTTCCTGTCCAAAACTTTTATTACAAACTCGAGCGCTCCGATTCCGACCATCCAGGCATTGACCAAGGCAGTTCTCAAAACTATAACTTTCACTCTGAAGGACGTGACTGTAGCGACTCGGCGTTTTCGTCAATCTCATAGTCCCGGACCCGATTATGTCCCAGTTAGCATTCTCAAAGCGGATGTGAAGTAATTTTCCCACCCCTTTTATGCAAGACATTTAATCTCGCTCTTGAAAGTGAAACCTATCCTACTTTTTGGATCGAATCAGCCATTTTGCTTATTCCCAAGCATGGCTAATCTAGGTCATTTGACCACTCTTCACCAATAAACACCCTTCCGAAATTCCCGAAAGTCTTAGAGACATTGAGTAAAGATAGGATGATATGTCACTTCACTGAGAATAACCTACCGATTGTTGCTCAGTATGGATTCCTCAAAGCGCGGTCTTGTGACACCTGTCAGCTCTATTTGTTTAATTAGGTTCCCCAATTTAGGGACATCGGTTTTGCACTTTACGCAGTCTATTTCGATTTCACCAAGGCTTCTATCGTGTTGACTATGGTCTTATTCTCTTGAAACTTTCCTCTTTCGGAATAGGTGATAAATTTCTGAATTTTATATCCTAGCGCACAACGAGTCAATATTTCCACTTCTATCCCCAAACCCACAAATTCATATCGATCACCGTCAAAAGTATTTCTGAAGTCAATATTCACCATCTTTACTGACAAACCCACACCAATTGTTTTCGCCCAGCCCTCCATTGATGTGAGCAATTTGGTAAGACAGGATCAGTTCCGTCTAAATCCATGTTTATGCAAACAAAGCAAGTCGTTTTTTCGAGATCCTGCTTTAACTCCGTTTTTATTATCCTGCTCATCAGTTTACACAGATGTTTGTTATATTCACTGATTTGAAACTATCTGGAAAAGTTCTCCCTCCTCTTATATGTATGGGCTTATGCTAATTTGCCCCAATCAGCAGGCAGGACTTTAGCATTCGTCGAAGTTTTGAGGATCTTGGAGGGCGGAGAGACCAATTGGTCCGAGAGTACATTTAGATCTTCTGCGAGCACGCCGTTGGGACAAAGTGATTTAACAAATTGTATCTGTCTCAAAGTATTCCGTACAGTGTCTCCTCTGAAGTCTACCGTGCTAATTGGATTGCTCGATAGGGCTCGATATGACGTTAAGTGTAAAATGTTTTCCAAAACCTTCCCAGTGACGATATCTTGTATCAACTGTGTACAAATGTATTTGAACTCCCAACTGCATATAAATTAACTCATAAAGGACTCTGCCCGTAACTCTAAAATACATACATACATACATGCACACATAGAAATGTCCTATGTATATGTATATGTGTATATGTACTGAACATACATCTATTAATGTGTTTTGTAAATACAACGAATACTACTTTACATTGTTAAAGTTTTGCATCCTTTAATTCCATTGTCGTAGATTTCCCACGTTGCATTTTATACGGGTTTAAAAATTTTATGTATTTTTTGCCTTTACCATTTTTTTAAATTCCATTGAAGTAATGGCTCATCCGTTCTTCGAATGTGTCTTCCCAAATAATTCCCATGTTCTTTGTATTTGCACACTTATCACTGCGTCCCTGCTTGTTGATAGTTATTCGCCTGCCATATGTCCTATCTTTAAGGGTTCTTATTGAGCGCTACAGCGTGTTTTATGTAAGGGCAGGTTGTTACAAAAAGCAAGGAAATCGAGGAGTCTTTCGTCGCCGGAAACATCTTACTATTATACTTGCCTAGCTGAATACCTCGGACATGCTGCTCCTTGTGAGCTGTTTTGGTTAAACCTCGATCGTTTCTTCATAAATGAGTCTACTTATTGAAACCGTCGAAGTCGGGTTGTAACTCGCACCCATAGATTTTGTTTAAATCTGTGATCAGCGTCGCTCATTTGCGCACTTATTGAGTCATCTTTCACAGGTGGGTTTGGTGGTTTGACTGGTCCTTTGCCTTGCCGTGGCTGCAGGTGCGGGGTGTCCGTCAAATTTTTGTCAAAACATCAGAATGGACTTAATCTCCTAGAAATTTTAATAGTTTCTGTTTTTTAAGTTGTACAAAGCGGCCTACACGAGTTAATTGCGGCTCTGACTAGTCACACCTACGCCCCTGTATGGTATCAATTTCATACAAAGCCGATAGCGACTCGTCGAATGGTCAAGATAGGTACTGGCGTCTGGGCGCGGATTTTGTTTAAGTTGGTCGCTGAGTAGAAGATATCAAAAGGTCGCAATATGACACTATACCGCGATAACGAAAGGGCAAACCGTACACGTATATACCGCATGCATATATGTACCATAATCGTGTTCTGCTAGCGTCCCCTATCTTCTAGTCGACCGTCCACACTGAAAACTACAGTATAACTGCACTTTAGCTTTCCCCCACAATGTAGAACCGCCTGTCCTTAGCAGTGACGTGAGGCCGAATGCAATTTCACATCAAATATTTGGCTGGATTTTTATTAGAATAATGCATGGCACAAAAATACTTCGTAGGGGTCTGCGAACTGACTTAACTGCAGACTGTGACCACACGGGTTCTTTTCTGGACAACAATTAATTGATCCTTTGAATGGAGGAATCCAATACACTAGGGGGGCTAGACCCCCTCGTGTTCCTCATTCTCAGGGCATTCAGCGGGCGTTTCAGTCGCCTCGTCAATTTGCCTTCTGGTTCGTGGACGTCTGACCGAGGAGCCTACTTCCAGTTGACATAGACATCTATGTAGCAATATCGCACGAAATCGGACAACATACCAGCCATAATTTCATATAATTTTGTTGTACAGAGGCTGTTCGTAGTCTTTTCTCATCAAAATTAATGCGTCCGGTGTTGTTGTCGTCAACGAAGGTCTAGAATACTCTTTTAAGGAAGTCACCCGTACTGTCGTCTCCGGCACATACGGGAAATACATCCTGAATTAGTGCGTCTGTACTACATATATATTCAACGCGCTAACCGGCCGTGGAAATCCGTGTCCAGCAGCCGCCGGTTAATCTTCAGAAAACCCTCTTTCGTACGAAGTAATGGGCGGTCGTCACCGGCTTTTCGGCTGTCAACATATTTGCATTTACACCAAACGCTTGGGTTAGCCTAATATGTTACACAATTGTGTAATATGCTCCCTCACCATTTACTGGTAAGTTCTAACACTTGTAACCTTAATGGTCACTAAGAAGAGTATAAATGTCGTCGGTGATTCAGAGAGTATCTCCACTTTTGAAAAATTAATTTTAGTCGTGTTGAACCCTTAGTGATATTGAATTTCGTCCAGGCAATTTCATCCCCTCATACAGGACCGGAAGCGAAGCCGAATTTGTCGTTCGTGTCTCCCACTCGTTTTTGACTCAAGTCATCTCGGGGTCGGAAATAAAGTCGGCAACATCCAATGGATGGTTCACACAGCACAGACACGTGCTGAAAAAAAATACATAAACCCACCAATTTTCTCGGACGGTCCTTCTTCCGGTTTGATAGTACGTCCCAGAGTGGCTATAGTCCGACTGGAAACGTGTCTAAACCGTTGCCCCAAAACTGTTTCTTCTGAAAGCTCATTCCGAAGTTTCGACTTCCACTGTCATACTATCATCCTAAAAGAAACAATTCAGTAGTCTGCACCATTATCTCAAGACTACTCAGTTCTCCGGCTGACCGCAATGTGGTTGAACAACTTTTTAAATGTTCTGCCATCGGGTGGTCTCTGGATATCAAGTATCTGATACACCCACTACGAGACACCATGGTCGACTGCCTCACGCAGTCGTGACTGGTGTGAGTTCGTTTACAGTAAAGCAGACTTCTGATGCATTAACTCATCCCCTGTTCTCACACATCGTGTTCCACGGCAATATTCGACTAAACATGACCCATATAGGTTAAAGCAGGCCAGATTAGGTAAAATTAGTCCCGAACCACTTATGAATCAGGCTCTAGGATTCCTGCCTAATATGGCCTTTGGGGCACTCGCGCTTTTGATATCCGAGCCGCCTACCTACTGCGCAGAGGGACCTTATGCACGCCCCGCTCCTGCTATGGCCAGAGATTAACTGCATGTATGTCTCCTCATCCCCGTTCCCCCTTCCTCCCCATGTGACACGGCTCTACCTAACCCTCACTGCCATTTTATACCTCCTCTCCTTCCCCTCCTATTAACACACCCCGCTTGTATGGAAAGGCAAGTCGTAATCGTTTTTGTCCTATCGCTCACACGTCTTGCTTTGTATCTCGTTCCCAGATAAGTGTATTGACCCAATGAGAATCTATCGAAAACATGCGTATGCACACCAACTCGTATTCTGAAAACCTAATGCGTTGTGCGGGGAGCCGGGTCGTGTTTGGCACGCGCAGTCAGGCTGTACGGCTCTGTCTGTTACTTGCGCCCGCTCCATGCATCAGTTGACTGGCGGGCTCGGAGAGTGAACTGATGCCTGGAAGAGGGAAGAGTAGGGCCGACTCTGGGGACACTCAACACGTGCTCCTCCCTATAAATAATCTGACGCGCTTTTAAACTATCGAGGGGCGCTAAAAGCCGTAGCTTAGAAGGCTGTCAACTGACAGCCCTCCGCTCAGAACGGAGTCAGGCCATAATGACTTCTTCATGTGGCCTCTATGGCATTCTCACCCAGTTGGAATCCGAGCCGTCCTTTCCTTATTTCTGTGAGAACCGGGTCCATCGTGCGCGAACCAGGCGTGTCGCACGCGCTGACAAGCTGTGTACCTTTATCCGCTACTGCACCCGATCTCGCCGCCGGTCTTCTTGATTCTGTCTTGACACCGGGCCCAGGTGGACGAAGGAGGCGAGAATATGGTAGACGCAGTACAAGCCTGCTACCACAACAAACTAATTCATGCGTAATTCACCGTCCCTGCGCCCGCCATACCGTGGGATACATGGTGGTTATCGTCGCCCGCGACGGTAGCACTGTCATATAAGCGTACGCTCCGTTTCCTCCGAGAACCAACCTCTAACTTCATTCACACACTTATATGGCAGCAAATGACGCATTTTCCGTTTAAGTGGAAGGGTGTCCGAGACATCACACAGGTGGAAGTGACAAAAAGGAGGAGTCATTTCAGCCTCGTCCCTTGGCAATATATGCCATGACTGTTTGCACCTCGTGTTAGCTAATCTGCCCTTGATTGTTTATGGTGGGAAATTTAGACTTTGGATTTTAACGGGACGACTTCACTCCCCCTCTATCCTCTCCCATACACCCGTGGCCCCAAATTCAAAATGACTCGGGACAATATTGGCGCAGTCGTTGACGTGGCTTGAAATCTCCGTCTAGTGCGATCCGCACACGGACTCGTATCCTAGAGGAGTGATCGGTGCCATAAAACCCACTCTAAAAAAACCATGTCACCCTCGCGCTTTTGTCAAAAATATGGTCGGGTTACTGCACAGTTGTCAACCTTCAGAGCCGCGTCTTTTAGATCGTCAGTTATTTATCGTGTTGAGGAATGCGCTGCTTTGCCGTGAGGAGGGACGCCTCTGGGTCGGCTTCGCTCTTTCCTACGTACTAATATCTTCGACCCTATCAGACAATTGGCAGTGAGGTTTGACGCATTGGTTGTTGTAGCGTAAAGTCCCTTTTCGCTTTCCTCCGCTATGCATGACCAGTCGTCACGAAAACGTGGAATGGAGATGCTCACGTACTCGTATATGACGTTCCATCAATCATAAAGACGCGTGAAAATTGCACCCCATGATTGTTGAATGGGCGATGCCTAATGGTCTCCTGGTCTTGGGCGTGTGTGCGTATGTAATCGGATATGTCCATGCATTGCCTAGGTGTGCGTGTGTGAATGTGTGGAGTGAAGTGCTGCATGCAGACTTGGACTGTGCTGTCCCACGAATAGACTCGTGCATGTGGTGGCTGAGTGCGCAGATGCCCTGTGGGCGGGGAGGGCATACCCGATAAGTATTAAACCCCACCATGACACCCAATACACCCATCATAAAACACACAGTAGATAACTGTGACTGTCTAGAAAGGCCTCCGATACGGAACTTTAGTCTTCTTTCGCGCTTTACGTACAAGAGCATGTAAGCATCGCTCATGCCCAAGCGCGACGGCTCGAATGTCAAAAGTGATGGGATCCACCACTATCCCTAAGGTGGGTGCAGGCGTGACTGGCACTCGAGCTTTTTCATGGCAGAACAAACCAGCGCCCTATATACTTCATCCTACTGTGGTCCGACGACAAAACAAAGTCGAGAAGACCGGAGGCGGTTGTGGGCCAAACGGTTCGTCTTCACGTACTAAACACCATCCGGTCACTGACCACACGTCCCGACCCTCATTCAGCGAGTGTCAGGTCCATCCCAATTGAGTGTCATAAAGGTCACATTACAAGTCAAGCCATTGCAGCCTGACCCCCGGTTCTGAGTAGGGCCCAATTATCTCGTCAGTTTGACATCTTTTTATGGTGATGAATTAGATGCCGGATCCGAATTTCTTGACCTCGCCTTCTCGTTAACTTGTCCGAGTCAATTCGACTGGGGTTGAGATTGGGCACGGTAACTGGAGTGAAGTTGCCGTCTCTCTTGTTGGGTCTGTTTCCGACTCCGTTTCCAGTTAAATCAAACTCGAAAGACCTAGAAGTGCGTCAACAAGTCTTCGCACCGTTAGTGTTCGGATTGGATTTTGACAGTCGATTAAATCATCTTGCTTTATTGTCTGCTTCCGTTTTGAATAATTCTAGGGATAAATATAGCGCTGCGATTTACGTTGACCGTAATTTGCTGTCGTAGGGAGGATAGTATAGCGCAGATAGGCCGGAGGGACATGCACTTTACTACGCTTGCGTAGGTAGTGTATGGATTTATTCTTCTCCACTGTGCGGGTGTAGTATAGAAATACCACTGGTATCACCGAGGCATATGCCAGGGGGGCATTTTGCGTGGGAATGGTACTTGTTACATGTCGACAAGGTTGCGTTCAGCATCACCGCAGCCGGCAACGAATATCTTCATGTGTTTCGAGGAACACCCTACCAGGACTGGAGGACCCAATGTGTATGCGTACGACCTGCGTAGTTCCTAAGGTGACGGGCATGTCGGACGCCAGCCACTACAAATCACCGCGCAAAATTTATCCAAACCATAAATCGTGGACGCTGGCCTACGTTGGAGTAATACGCGCATTTGAATTACCATTTCCTATCAAACGTCGCAATGCACTTGCGTTGATCAGCAACAGGGAACGCTCTGTCTCGACGACTGGCTTCAGTACAGTTTGGCTGCCTAACCGCCCTGTCCCCACGTAGTCCTTGCAGTGTGTGCCTATACGCTTATCTTCTTGCAGGGCATCCTCACCCTCAGTACTGCCAACTAGCCGCAGTCGGGGAGTTCAGTGCGACCGTCCTTGCACTCAGTGGGGCCATGCGACAGCCACCGTATACCTTATAGGACTTCCATTGACGTTATACGGATCTGCATCAAGACATTGGCTGCGGTGGAACAGTAAAAATTTGCCCCCAGACATGCGTGAACGGAAGTCCGACAAATCTGAAAACGCCTCCCCTGCAAACAGCAGTAATCGCCTCCCTCTGCCCCTCAGGACCGTGGAAGCCTACGAGGATTTCACACGAAGGCTTGCTGCTGACGACGATGTCTTCACGCGCACGGTACTGCGTCTATTCCTATTAACAGAGGTCAGGCGAGACAGCTGGCTTTGGTAGGGGGTCAGAGTCCGAAGGAGTATGTCCGCAAGGTCATGTCTAACTTACTCGGACCACCGCTGTGCACTCAATTTACCTGGTCAAGGGCACGCACGAAGAAGCGTTTTGTTTCTTCACCCCTTTTCGCTGTCTTCCGCGGTAGGTTGCGCCCATATTGTCTCGAATTCTTAGAATCCATTAAGCTTAATGATATGTGCAGAAATTGCAGTCGCGATGGACTGGAGAAAATCGCAATGGAATGGTTTCATGGTATCCGAGACAGGTACGGTGGCCGGACCAAACGGAGACAAGCTGCCAGACATGTAGTTGTGCTTAACTTTAGTTTACCTCATATGTCCTCTAGGCCCCCACAGGTTCGTCAAATACCTCCTCCTGCCCATCTCCCACTTTGTCGGACAATACCGTAGCCATTCTTGTTATAGTTTGTAACAATTTTCATTCCTTAGATTCATGCCCTTGTTACGCCCGAGAAAGACGGTGGACTGCAAAAGAAAGACTCACTCCAGCAAAAATCTCCTACCTTGTAGATTTCACCCCTACCTTTTTCAATTTTTATATTACAACTTGCCTACCTACGAAACTTTGTTCTCCTAATACCCGTGGGCTTCCTGTTTGCTTACTCAATCTACCCTTTCGAGGCGAACGTTGGCCGCATCTTTGGACTATGTGATCATTTGTTCCAGGTCACCAGATCATGATTACGTCTCCACAGTGCGCGCAGATGGCTGTAGCTTACCCCGCATACGATAATTTGACCACATGACTACCTTGAACACCGCTTTAAGGAGACCATAATTACCTATGTGATGGCGTTAGTAATGAGCTCGTTACAAGCTTATGCCAGCAATACGAGGAGGTTAAGCCGGAAAAGTCTTGGCTGAATTGTAACGTGTTAACTCTGACAGCCCCGCCGTAAGCATTGAACACGTTCCCGCCAATATGAAACAAAAGCGATGTCCCTGCTACGTAGGCCAAAACTGGTCCTCCTTAATCCCCCTAATTCTCTGCGACCGTAGTTAATAGCATTGTGTCCCCTAAGTTAGGATAGTCCCAGAACTCGCGAGCGTTTTCTGAAGAAGTTTCGAAGTTGTACAGGTGAATTACTTCCGAGTAATCACTATTCGACTATTTTGGAGAATAACTGCAAGGCATCTGAAGACATGCTCCTTAGTTTGGAAAGCATGGCGGTGTTGCAAAACTGGCAGGTTCTGATCGGGTACATGTCCTAACACCTGAGCACCCGTGAGCGGACCAGGGGGCCCGATTTATTAGATAAAGGGGATGCGGTCGCCGAGCCATTAATAACATTGACCTAACTTTCAGGATTATCACTCGAACCCATTATCAGAAGCAACCGCAAGTAAGGATGATGTGTGCACAAGGGGTGCAGTATTTATAGAATGAAGTTGCCATGACACTGCACAATCAGCAGCTCCACATTCGTAGCTGGCGGTCGTAATGGGTGCCAGGATTGTCAGCTTGTCCTCACCCGAGTCGTTAACGGCCACATCTCCGTCGCCGGTGTTGGTTAGTGGTATGATAATAACCCGGCTATTCGCCTCTCTGATACCGCCAATGGAACCGATGTTAACCCACGCGCTCCCCTCGTAGTCAGTTGCTCTGTTCAGGTAAAGTTTCAGAGCTGAATATGGAAGGAGGTTATTGCGACTGCGGGTCGAAAAACCATGATTCGAGCAGTTCGCAACTTATGCGGCCGTCACCTCGCGAGGATTTCGGCCTCGTCGGAGTTGGTGTGCCCGAGGTATCGTCGAATTAACCACCACCTGGGAACTGACGTCATTCCTCCTCGATATTATATTCTCAGCTATTCTTGTTCAGAGCAGTTTTCCAGTTTCTCCGACGTAGTTACTTTGGGTATTACTGCACCAAATCCGACTCCTGACGTTTCCAGCCGTGGCAATAAATCTGTCGGCATCGTTATATGGCGCCCGATCGTTGCCCCGGGTCTGTATACAATCGCAACTCCAAGTGACGCAAGGTGGCCGACGGCTTCGGAGACGTTCTGGATTTTTGGCTATGCCTGCCGAAATCGGGGGTCAGTGCAGCCTGGTCTCCCGTCACGTCTGTGCATGTCCCTTTTAACTAGGTTACACGGGTGGACCTTCGTTCTTAGCACCCGTCGAAGGTATCGTCATTCGCCAACCTTGTTATCTGGCTCACTGCAGTGCATTTCAACACGCTGACAAAGTGCCATTGCGCAACTACGTTTCTGGGCATTTCGGGTGGTTGCTGTTGAAGCTTTGAGTGCGACTCCCCTGACTGGATTGTTTCAAGGCTCAAAGATTATGTTGCCTTCCACAATCAAACTGTACAGTCTAGCGAACGGAGATTGACTGTTCTTCCTAGTAACTATGGAGAACTTCAAGGTTCCACTAGGTACCCTCACCTCTTCTCACTCCATACTGATGGCCAAACATCGTCCAGTGACTGCTTACCTAGTAAGTATGCTGATGATATGATTGTTGGTCAACACATTGAAGATCAGGCTAATCTCCAGTTTCTGAAGGATGGCTCGGATCAGGTCTTCGCATGGTCGTTGGAAAATGGACCTCTGCATAACGATCAGAAATCTGCAGATGCAAGCGAAGATGTGAGTCCCAGGAAGTAGTTGAGGTGTAGATGCGATCGCTGGAGCCTTATTCGTTGGATGTTTCGGATTCACGTTGGAACCAATAATCAGAGGCAGCATCAAGTGCGGGTACACTGAAGTTGCAGTATTTAGAGCATGCAGTCGCTACACTACTGCTTACCTATGGCAATTATCGCCCTCTTCATCGAGGATGTTTGCCTTCTGGTGCTTGCTGGCCGGCATGCTAGTCGTTAATTGTTGGAATTAATGAGTGTTTTGGCAGATTTCGGATAATTTAATTTGACCCAACTATGGCAACTAAGTGGCCTCGGTTGGATCAAAACACACAACAGCAAGGGGTAGGCTTCAGTACAGCCAACGGAACTACGAGGCCCCACCGGGAGCCGTGAGTTTAACCACACTTGGGTCGAGTTACCTGCCCAGCCTACTGCAATGTCTGGATTCCACTAAATCTGATACACTAAGCTGGTTGCCCAGGCGTTGGCTGTACTAAAGCCTCCCCCCTCCTCTCATGGGTTCGAATCCCACCGAGGTCGCCGAGTTTTTCACAGTTAGGTCAAAATTAATTGTTGAAATTTCACCAATCATGTTGGGTGTTGGCGTGATGACTGCTCGGCCTCTTGTCTCACCAGCCTGCGCGTTCCCCGAGTGGCTAATTACTTTGCCCAAACTAAATCTCAGCACTTAATATGGATTGGGGAGGTCGTAACACTTGTTAATAGACTAAGGTTCAGTGAACCATGAATCTCGGCGCACGCAATTGTGACTTCTCGTGAGAATTTCGGTCTCGTCGAACCAGGATATCTGACCAGGTCTCGCTGAATGTGCCGCGACTTGAGAATTGACGTCATTCCTCCACACTGTTGCCGCGTGTTCGGCGTTTCGCGGCCGGGCAGTCCTCTAGTTTCTCGGAAGTGGTTGCTTTTCCCGCAACTGCGTCAGATCCGACAAACGGTTCCGGGTGTTTCTTATCGTGATAGTGGATCTTTTGGTCTCATTACCTGGCGCCTAGTGTTTGCCTCCTGTCTGTGTGCGGCTCCAAGTAGTGCAACAAGGCGACTGACGGGCTCGGAGACGTTCTTGACCTACAGAATTGCTCGCCAAAATTCTGGGTAGGTGCGGCTTCATCACTCCTCTCATTCGCGCATGCGCCGGTTGACAAAGTTGCGCTGGTAGCCATTTTTTTCTGAAAACCCGTCGAAGATATTAAAATTCATCAACCTTATCTTCCGGTTCACTGCGGTGCGTCTCAACACGCCGACAAAATGTCCTTGCGTAACTGCGTTTCCGGCCGCTTCGGGTGGTTGCCGTTGAAGGTCTGCGTTTTCGTCGTCGCATTCCTGAACGCTAGTTTTTAACCCACGCCAATCTTTGTAGCAGACTAGGACATTAAAAAGAACCAGCTCGTCGTCTTCTTTCTCCATCGTAAATTGTGTCCGTGGAGACAGGGTCGAGATGTTCTTTGAATACAAACACCTGACCTCATTCGATGACAAAAGTATCGTCCAAAACCGAGCACGGAAATCCGACATGTGGAACCGGAAGACCAGCAAATCATCGAACTCCGAACGGGTGGCGATAGTTGTGAACAGGGCCGGTCTCTGCGAGGCTATACTAGCTGAAGACGCGAGTAGTCTAACGGGGCAGTGTGTCGGGCATATTTGCCTTCATGCGGCCAATCGTGACCCTGGCCGCTAGTTGGGGCGCACTCTGGTCCTCGGACGAGGCGAAGGTAATCAGTGCGTCGCCGCCTGGCATTCTCTGTCGCTGCAGATGGGCTATTTGTCTCACACGGAAGTGGTCGCGCATTTTTGAATTCGCTTTTTGGAACAAGGAAAACCAGATTAGGATTTGCTGAATGAAGGCGGACACTAGTCAGTGTTGGAATTATGGTCGATGAGATCAGAGGAAATCTTAGCCAGTGCCTAGTGCCACTTAACCATCTTTGCGATGCAGGTAAATAAACCTCGGATACGATGCACAGACGGTAACGGAAGGATGAACGGGAGTAAGTGGGATGCAGCTCTTCGTAGTGTTTACTTTAGGAACATTTATCCTAGTTCATCCCGTAGGTCACATACACGACTTCTAGAAGTTCTCTTTTGAAGAATAACTTGCCGGAGAATTATATTCTCGTTTGAGGTCCTGCACTCCACAATGTTTGCACAGTCAGCTGACCATAGGCATAGGTTCAGTTTGAAAGCGTAGTCGTCCAAACTTGAGATCTTGCGTCGACTAACTCAGGAGCTATGATACCTGAAACCCACCCCAGCCGACCATTTTTACCTTGAAGCCGGAGGGGTCGGCGACCCTCTTAGACAGATCAGCTCCAATCAACTCAGGTGAAGTAGGGACATCCAGAATACGCATCGAATATGATAGTAGACGACAGATGGGAAGAGGGTCGGCCGGTAGACACCGGTATGGAGCTGACTGATTGCTTCAAACGAATGAAGGGTTTTAGGTTCCCATTCAACGGCAGTTTCCAACCCCGCAGCATTTGTGATAAGTTTAGCTTCGTGTATTGCTTAGAGAGCTTCAGCTTAAACAGGAGGACCGTTATCATTGGACGCCTCGCCTTTATTCGTAAATGTCCATCGAAGTGAGACTATTGACTGTGCAACTTCACTTAGCAAACTATGCATTTAACATACCAAGTGAACCGCTGGAGGAATTACTGATGCGATTCATTCTAAATATAAAATTCCAACTAAGTGGACAGGTGTTTGTCCCAGCCAACGTTTTCATAAAACTCAGGGGGGTTTCGACTACACATTTAGCGAGAATCCACATGATTAATGTGCGCATTTTGACGGTATTTGTACTAGAGCATCAACGAGTCATGTTTCAGTTCGAAGTACGGTAGCCAGAAATTGAAACCAACGCATGTCTAAGAAAGTGTAGCCCTAGGGACGGCCTTCCATATTCGCAGAACTAGGAGTACTTTCACTGATTTTGGGAATTCCCGGCCGAATTAGCAGATCCTCCTACAACCTAATGGGTACGTATTGTAAGCTTGACTGCTGACAAATTCACGCTTTCAGGAGAATGTTCACCACGAGGTAACGTCGACGGTGGCACGTATATCCAAGTCCTCGTGACTGGAGAAACCTATTTCAATATACGCTCCCCCTCCGACGAACTAATTTCGCGTGATCCGGATCTCACATTCAATAGTCGCGGCAGTCATTGCGAGCCCGCCAACTTCGAAAATCTTTGCGGGTTTAAGGCACTAGGTCTTTGAAAAACGGTCCATAAGGGGCCCTAGGTGAATTTCCGCCAATGTTCTAACGAAATTATTCATTCGTTAATGCGAAGACTCCAGCGTGAAATATCTTTATATTAACACTATCACTGCTAGTTCAACTGATGTACGCGAAAAGGGATCACGGCTACTGCCCAAGGACTTCGCGAGACCATACCAGGGCCTTCCCCACGTTCTATTTCTGTGCACACAAGTTGTTATTGAAGTCAAATAAGTAGTCGGAAATGTCTAAGGACTCTCAGTTACGAGCTTAGTGGGTACAACCTCGTCCTCTTGAATTTACCACGAAGAATAAGGACAATTGGACCGTCAAGGTTATGAGAACTGAACTGCCGAAGAATGCGACCAATCAGACGTAAGCCGTAGATGTTAGTTGTAGGAAGTGCATCCAGAATGATTCCCTAACCTTAAACACTAGCTCTAAACCTTAACCCCAAAGCCAACCTTAAACCGTAACCCTAAACTTTAAATCTTAACCGTGAAACCCGAACACTAGCATAATTGTGAATCATAATCGCAGCAGTCCACGAAGCACATCAAATTGAAAGTATCCGCAAGTAGTATTACGCCTCCTGAAATCACCGGTGGTACGAAAGTGATAAATGTTGACTACCTACTGAAGTCAATAATAGTACGAAACTTATGATCTGTTGACGAAGCAGGACAGAGTTTCCGAACCCCACAAGATAACAGATCGGAGGGGGGAAGTTGTCAGCCGGATGAAGGCACACGTCAAACAGTGCGAGAGTACGCGTCGGAGTGCCAGCGGACAGGCGTCAAAGCGCCCTAACGGAGGCATGCCCGCGTCGGACTTGAAGTTGATTGGCCGATTTGGAGTTGTAGGAAGTGCATCCAGAATGATTTCCTAACCTTAAACACTATCTCTAAACCTTAAACTCTAACCATAAACTTTAAATCCTAACCGTAAAACCCGAGCACTAGCATAATTGTGAATAATAATCGCAGCAGTCTGCGAAGAACATCAAATTGAAGGTCCCCGCAAGTAGTATTACGTTTCCTGAAATCACTGGTGGTACGAAAGTGGTAAATGTTGACTACCTACTGAAGTCAATAATAGTACGAAAGTTATTATTTGTTGACGAAGCAGGACAGCGTCTCCAAACCCCACAAGATAACAGGTCGGGGAAGTGGTCAGCCAGATGAAGGCACACGTCCAACGATGCGAGAGTACGCTTCGGAGTTCCAGCGGACAGGCCTGAAAGCGCCTTGACTGAGGGCATGCCCGCGTCGGACTTGAAGTTGATTGGCCGAGAACCAGACTGCCACCGGTACGCGCGAGGGGCGCAGTGTTGCAACGGGCGACCGTAGTAGACATCTCTGTAGTCGATGTGACTTTATAATGTCTCTGATATCTGAAACCTGTCCAACGGAATTCGATACTGCAACACAATTCGCTTTTTAGTAATCGCTAATCGAGTTTCTAGTCATTTTGCCGTAGTCAAAAGTCGACTAACTACAGTAGATGTGCTAACTCATGAAATGTTAACCGGAATTCCGAAATACGCAGAATGGCATTATTGACAAAGACAAGGGAGACTGGAATGGCCATTTCTGGCTTATTAGCCGTCGTCAGCCAGTCATACCCAACCCCGAAGTTTGGAACACCCGAGGTTAGAGGCGTGGACTTCTAAATAACAGGTCGCGAGTTCGAGCCTCGGACGTTCCACACTTCGGGATTGGGTATGACTGGCTGACGACGACTAATAAGCCAGTAATGACCATTCCAGTCTCCCTTGTCTTTGTCGATAATGCCATTCTGTTTATATCATGCGCCGCTGTGTGGCTGCTGGTTGTGCTCGAGAGAGAGCCCGTAAGGCACAACGGAACGAGTGAGTTCCGTAAGAACGACCGGTGAGCGCCCCATACCATTCTGAAATACGTATTCGACTCGAAAAATTACTTAAATAGGGTTGTAAGATTAATCACTATGGAGCATAGTTGCAAGATATTTCAGTTACTTCAGGATGTCGGCGTTTGAACGAACTTCTTTCTAGCCGTCTGCAAAAAATTACACTCTCTAAGGAATGACCATGTATTACGCACTTTTCACATCGATTTCCGATGCTCTTATATATTCGAATATATTTCATAGAAGACAAACACAGAAATATTCATTTTTCTGCAAAGAAGATGAACGTGCGATCACCGTCCCCAGTGATTGTGCGTTCATCTTCTTTGCAACAAGAACCTGGGACTCGCATATTCGCTTCCATCCATCCATTTTTTACTCATTACTTGGAAAATCACATCTTTCTGAAATTTAATACGTGAAGTAAAGGTATAATTTGGTTTCAAAAAGCTTTTCCGATTCCCGAACAATTTTGGACCCTCCCTGTTGTTACACTCGCATTCAGAGTTTACAAACTATAAGCTATTTATTTTCAGTGTACGGAAAGTCATACATTTCTATATTATTTTATGAGAAGACCACATAGGATTCACAAAATTTTACAGTGGATTTCAGCCCTATTATAGACTTTACAAGCATCATTAACAAATGCAAATTCACGATCTTTTATAGACGGGAATTTTACGGTCTCAAAAAACCTCATAAATAGAAACTTTTTAATGGCCAAATTATATCATTCCTTAGAGCATAAAATTTGAAAAAGACGTAATTTTCTTCCAAATGAACAAAAGAAAAAAATATTTTCATGCATGTATTCTATGAAATATATTTGAATTTATAAGGACATCGAAAATCCGTTAGAAAGATTTGCACTACATAAGTAGTCATTTTTCACAGAGTATAGTTTTTGCAGGCGGCTGGAAAGGAATTCGTTCGAAATATCTTAGGATTATGCTGCACGGTAGTTGGTATTACAATCCCACTTTAGTAATTCTTTTGAGTTTAAAACGCATTTTAGGATTTCGACTAACATTACATGAGTTAGCACATCTACTCTACATGCATCTCTCCGCGCCCTTCCGCTCTCATCCTGCCCCTGACATTGATTCTTATTACTTCCACTCTCCCCATAGTCCCACACCCTGCCTGTGTTTTAAGAAGAAATTTGATCACTGACATGTTTTACTTCTACCCAGCTCCCATATAAATGTTCTGACCTGACGAGAATTCATCGAAAGCAAACGTATGCTCGCCAACTGGTCATCTGAATACAGTCCACTTTGTTGTAATTCCCAACCGACTTCCTAGTCATTTTCCGGAGTTGGGAGAGAGAATCCTCTTTGCGGGATCCAGCTGGAGCCTCCAGGGCAGGCGACTGATTCAGCCACCACAATACGGCTGAGTGGAACTAACAACCCTTCCGGCTGTCTCGCTGTCTTGTGACTTCGGCGACGGCCATTTCTCGTTGCCTTGTCCTTTGATTCGGAATTTTTACGCTCAGAACCTGACTCTGTTGGGTTGTTGGCGTATTGTGATACGGGCGTTTCTTGTACAAGATATTTTAAGCTGGTGGGATTTCTGACGTGTGCGAATGAGAACATGGTCTGGCCTGTAGGCATTGCCGTTTTTGGCATCAAGAATCTACCTACTATTATATGCCCGGCTATGAAACCTTTTCTATAGACTCCTAACCGGCAGTGCTCTGAGTGCCAGTTTTTTCCCTTCCAGAAGTTGATTACGCCCCACTCACATGCCACTCACGGCACCTGACGGTCTAAAAAAACTACATAAAAGAGCGTCGAGGAGTTGTCTTCCCCTTATTTTTATAGGAACTTGCAAACATGAATCGCAGCAGCAGCAGCAGCTGTAATAACAACAACAACAGCTGGAGCCGGTCATGAGATTCAATCACGCAAAAAGGGAGCGAACCAATCGACAATGCCGGCGATACCCACCTCTACTTGGAAGCTCAGCGCACGTTGCTTACCCCTGACAAAATAAATAGAAAGAGAACTCTATATTCTTTTTTAGCAAAAACTAATCAAAAGTCCCCCAGAAAAGGCAGCCAAGGAGGAGCTGGAGGCGCGGTCGAAGAAGGGGAACAAAGACAATATGCCTGAGAGTTCATTCACTGGGGACACCACAGACCAGGTTCAGCGGCACGGCATGGTCCATGAGCTTTGGTCGGGGGAGGTTCAGGTTATTCATTATCTCGATAAATTCGGCCTTCGACTTTGTGAGTCTACGTAAGGTAAATGAATCAGAAATGCGGTAATAGGTAGACGGACAAAAAGAGAAGAAAAGTATATCTGAAATCCCTGATATAATAAGGTGGCGGGTTTAGGGCGGAGAACTAGCGTCTCCGTAGATGGGTGCAAGTTAAACAGTCCCTCGATAACCCCCCCCCCCATTTCTCGATAATCACGCGAAGGCTTAAATTTCGTTACATTTAGGAGTTGGATTGGTTCTAATGGGAATATCCGAGTCCATTTACAATACCAGCTGGCGTTTTGAAATGTATGAATAATTAATCGATATTTATTTCGGCAAATTTGAGGGTTCCGCATTGGTCTGCTAAAACGAGGAAATACTGTTGACATTTAGGGGGGCTTGGCAGTCTGATCATCGACGACGCGGTCCAAAGATAATGTCGTCGGATCGACTTTTAGCAGGGCAAACCTGCACTACGCAGGGGTTTTGTAATCGGGACTGCTGAAAGGGCCTACTCTAACGTTGAGTCCTGTCAAGGCGATTTCATACAGTATGAGTGTAGTTTCCTTTGCGGAGTTTGGTGGGGTTGGCGTAAGAGTGCGATCTTTTCTGTGTTTTACGCGACCCTGCCGGAATTATAGCGTGCATATTTTGCGGACGACAGGATTCCCCTGCGCGCGGTTGAGTTAGGGACTTGGACACCGGTTTCGCCAATCCCTGCGCCCTCACCTATTCGTTAGTCAACACTACAACACTGTGTCCCGGCAATGCCAAAAGATCTGACCAGGACCGGGTAAATGTGCGTTTATAGTTGAAGTCGCCGATCATAAATGTCCAGGAAAAATCGTGCACACAAAACTAGTGAATCGGGACGTTGTCTTGCACCTCTCAGACAACCTACATACTTCCTGGGCATCGTAGATATTGCGTCTGCGTGTGGCTTCTTCATAACGAGCGGGTATTTTGACATTCAGTATGTGTAGTCTAGCCAGTGTGGGGTGCACTCTAAATCCTCAAGTTCACACCATGACTCGGAAAGTCGCATGTGACGATTTGTGCCACGTACCCATCTGAGGATTCTGATTGGATAACTGCGGCTTCTCCTCCCTCCCTCCCCCATTGATCCTGACTCTGTCAATGGCAAAAACAAACTTATTTCTCGCCGACACGGTTCGGCAAACTTCCTTACCTCTCGTGAGGAACAGAGGTAGAGACAGAAAGAGTTGCATCGCGAATTGTGACAGTCCTTGCTGATGTCACCGAGAGCCGTTATTGTTGTCGCTTGCACAAATATTATTTATCAGTTAAATGACCTTAAACATGTGCGAAACTCAAGAGTCATAGCATAAAGTCCAGCAGAAATGATCTCCGTGAGAAAGCTTGCTCTGGTAGGGTCTTAGAGTTGATAAACATGGAAGGCAAACACATGTCTCACGAATGGAAGAGAATATGCGCATCCCAGGTTCTTGTTTAAAAGAAGACGATGGCACGATCACTGGGACGATGGATTTATTGGCCTTAGCTCTCAAACTCGAACTGGAGTTCATCAGCAGAGACTGCTAGAGTGCAGCAACGTGTGAACATTTATATCGTTGTGCCGTTAGGGGGGACGGGATTACGTCCGTGACTAGGTTTGGTTTGTGCTCTAGAAGTCTCTGATGATGAACTCCAGTTCGAGTTCGAAAGCTACTACCAATAAATATACCGTCCCAGTGATCGTGCCCTCGTCTTCTTTTAAACACATGCCTGTTTGTACACCGCGGCCCGTCGGCTTTCACATGAGAGCCTGTCTGGTCACCTTGAAAGACCCAGTTTGGACAAACGTCACGCTTACTTAGGCAGCATGTATTTCTGTCCTCAGTATTCCATGTTTACGGAAAAAGAACCCAATTATTTCCACTGGAAAGAACCGACTAATGCCTTTTACGGTCGTTCGTGGGGAACCGTCTTCTCAAATGTTTGCGCTCAAGTACGGAGTAGTGCGGCTTTCTCACACTCCTAATCCCATATAGGTCCCCTCTACTGCCATTCAACGTATGAAACGGTCCACAGGTTAGCTCAAGTTAGTTGTGCAGTCTACACCTCGTCGCTGCGAAAAAGAGTAAGGAGCCGAGGTAGCCCAAGTCAGTACTGCTTACTCGGAACAGTAGTGCTCCCCCCGAACTATCGTTGGACATTAAAAGGAGGTATTACAGACAGGTAGGGGATGCCCTTCACTCGTAAGTTCCCCTATTTTACTCAAAATCTCTAAAACAGTTCCCGATGAACACTCGATTACCTCTGCAGCATGCAGAAGTAATCCAAATAGCAGGCTGCTATCTCAGTACAGAGACCAACAGGGACGGATGAAGCGATGCGGTTCTAAGTCGAAGGAAGATTGAAGCACTACGAGCGACAAGGCATCCTAAAAGAACCACTTAGGAGCCCTTAAAATATGTGAACTCATTGTAGGACAGGTGGAGAAGCACGATTAGCTTATAGCCCGCAAACCGCCAGTCATATTCTGATACGAAGGAGATGTACGGTCGACGGACTTTGGCAAAGAACTATGCCGGTTGACTCTAGGGAATAGACCATAATGAGTACATTTCGGACTTGCCAGGATGTTGGCTTTTGAATGCACTTCTTTTCGACCTCCTGCAGAAAGCACACTCGGTAAAAATTGACTACTTAAGTAGCATGTATTTTCCTAGTGATTTTCGATAGTCTTATAAATTCAAATGTAATTTACGGAAAACATACACAAAAATATTCTTTCTTTTGCTCATTTGATAGAAAATCACGTTGGCTTTATATTTTATGCCCGAAGAAACCTATGTTTAGGTTTTAAAAGTTTCTAATTACGAAATTTTTAAGACCGTGCGATGTCCATGCATGCAAGACCGCACATGTCCGTTTACTAATGCTCCTCATGAAATGTACAACGCAGTCGGATCCATTGCGAAATTTCATGAGACTTATGTAGTATCTTCTTAAAGGCATAGAGAAATATATGATTTTCCTTACGCGGAATGCATGCACTTTGTAGACTGAAATTGCTAAACGCTGATGTAATGGCAGATCAGGCTGAAAAATTATTCGGGAATGATGAAACTTTTTCAAAACCTAAATATACACTTTTTCGGGTATAAAATATGAAGACAATGTGATTTTCTACCAAATGAGGAAAAGAACGAATATTTTTGTGCATGTTTTCTGTAAACTATATTTGAATTTATAAGACTATCGAAAATCACTAGGAAAAATGCATGCTAGTTAAGTAGTCAATTTTTACCGACTGTGGTTTCTGCAGGAGGTAAAAAGGAAGTGCATTCAAAAGCCGACATCCTGGCAAGCCCGAAATGCTATAAGGTTATGATGCATTATAATCAGTATAACAACCCCACTTAAGTAATCCTTGCTAATCAGCAACGCATTCCAGAATTTTGACCAACATTTCATGAAATCGGTCACGCACTGTACCACCGACAGCGACTGTTTCAAAGTTGAGTCTGCTGAGCACTGTTGGGGCCTACGCAAAAAAACTAACTGAAATCCATAAGACCTTACGAGTTAATGCGGCCTGTGATTATCGATTTTTCTTGTCGTCACCTTCTCCCGCAATGGCGGTGACTCGTTCTTGTAACCCCCAAGCGGTCATAACTATTCCCTGTTCAACAAGTGTGTTGAATCTGCACACGGACAAGGCACCACCATGGCTCTCGCACCAACAAGGCGGCAACGAATAAGCGGGGAAGGCAGACAAATGGATCGTCACTGGGCGCGATAACTGGTAAGGCCGAGGTACAGTCTGGTTAGCCACTTGGTCATCACCGGCTGTGACAGTGAGCAGCAGAATAGAATGTTCGAACGTACGGTCAGTATAGAAAGTTGTTCCAGCGACCCTGGGATTCTTGTCTTCGCTCGTCCGAGCTCAAAAAACATCGTAAATGTGGATGAGGGTAAGGAAGGCGATACTATGTACACGTGTTCCTATCGTCGACTTACCTGGGGTTCAGCCGCAGTTCCTCGTCCACAGTGGTCACCATGCGGCCGGTGTAGTCATGTGCCGGAAAGAGCAGGTAATTACGAGGCAGAGACAGGATTTTGGAGTGAACGGAGTCGTAGAGCTGGTCCGCGGAACCCTCCTGGAAGTCGGTACGACCGCAACCACGCACGAACAATGCATCTCCAGTGAATGCCGCCCCTGCGGAATGCAGCACAAAGGTCGTGCAGCCCGGTGTATGGCCTGAAGCGGGAAGCAAGCGAGAATACGAACTGGCAAGTAATAATGAAATTTTCAACCGACAGTTGAGCAGAAAGCTATTTAAAATGATATTAAATACGCGTGATCAAGGTCAGTAAACTTTTGGAGTAGCTGTTTATTCATCAGACGAGTCGAACACGCAATCGAGTCCATTGGCCCTGAAATGACCTTCATCCGCGCTTTCAGTTTGCTAATTAAGGCCTGGTAATCGGGTCGCATGCCGATTTGCTGAGTTATCGGACGAACGTCACGCTTTCGGCGATAGGCACGAAATCCGGCCAGCCTATTGGCTTAGGGTCTTCACGCATCCGGAGACGAAACTACGCTGAAGAAGGTTGACCTTTGAGTCCTAAATCCATTTAGTGTTCATTCATGCTCGACTGAATATTTTACTGATCACACCGATATATAGTTGGCTATGCTAAATTGCATTCGATCCGGTAAATAACAAGAGACGTTGGCCGATGGGTCCTTTTGATGTCTGAAGTGTTGTCGAATTCTTCCTCCAAACCGGCATACGAGTCCACTCTCGCATTCGTCCACCATTTAATCAAAATTTTATCACGCACCAGCTATGTGGTGCGTAACTGGTTTAATCCTTGATTTTTGCCTGCCGACTTTGCGTGCGCATTTTTTGAAAAAAACTGTCGAGATTCTCGTTGGCCGCGAAGGGCTTCCAGGGATGTAGATCTTCTGTCTCCCTCTATCCCTCTCGTAGTCCAATCCTTTGTGGTCTGTTTCCATCAGACGCAATGGACAGTTGCTGCGAAGGCTTAGTGACGACTTGCCGTCATCATCTTTCTTCGTAGGGAACCGAACCTCCGAGAAGATTGGGCGCAGAAGTTGACGACTCCCCCGTTTTTTTAGAATGTCTAAGTAATTCCATCTGGCTACACTAGGCGTCGCACTCCCAACGACCGTCTCGGGCGATGACGTCAGCGGTGCGCCCCACAGCATAGTGGGCGCAGAGACGGCGACTTGCTCGCGGAGTAGTTTATGGTGACGGTACACTTGCGCAGCATCCACCTCACTAACTCTCCCCACTCCCCAAGACAAAGTCAGGAGAACCGGGGGCGGGATCGCATACGGTGACTGACAAATTTCAGACAGCCCATCTGCGCGTACCGCACACGCCTGGTTTCCCAGAAACAAAAAAAGGGAGCTTCGGATCCCAGCTGACTGGGAATGCCATAGCCGCCACATAAAGCAGGGGTCATTGGACCCTGACGCTCCGTCCTGAGAGGAGGATCGCGTTATCCCCTTAGCTGACAGCCTTCCATGCCGCCGTGATAATTTAAAGTCGCGTCATAAAGTGGGGGATATGCGTTGAGTGCTATAAGAACGGAGCCCACAGATTTGACCTCAGACTCTCTCCCTTCTCGCAGACATCAGACCATCGTCGAGCCGGTCAACTATCTGAGGCGGAGATTGCGCGCAGATGGCTCCTGCGGCACGAGCCTGTGCCGAGGCGTACACAACCACCCTCGCAATGTATGACATTTCACGAATGAAGGCGAAATTTCTAGTTCCAGGTGTATGCATAAGTAAAGAAGACGAGTCGAGCACCGGAACACTGTGTTTATTGTCCTGAGCTTTCAGACTCGTACAGGAGTCCATCGTCAAAGGTAGCAGCAGCAGCAACAGAACAAACGGCAGTTATAAGGCATGTAGGCCAATCATTGACCGACGGCGAAAGACTGGAGGTGACTACACAGGGCTCTGTACGCCGGCTCCAGATCGATAAATCAATTGACCGAATTCTCATCCGAGGCCCAGGCTTCAATAAATTCTCAGCCTGTTTTGTTTCCGGCGTGGGTGACTATTTTGGTCGCTGCGAGGCCACAGCAGGGTGAGAGCATGGACGGTGACTTGCGCGTGAGATATTTCATAATGATTGTAGACTTGCGTAGCATCTACCGCACTCTCTCCTCTCCATCCCGCCGGGTTCTGGTGTCAAGAAGACAGGAAGCAGGAAAGGGCGCAGGTGGTTGGCACGGCCAACACCAGCAACTAGGCATGTCACCACACCCACTGACGCTCCCAAGAACACCTGACCAGCATTTTACACAACCGCAGAAAAGGGGGGAGGGGGGGACGGAACGGATCCGAATTGGCGCGACGCGAGCCAATAACTCGGCCTGCGAGTAGTGGCATTTGCGTCCGGCGCCCATTCTCGATAACAGCTGGCAGACTCCCATCTAGCCCCTCCTCCCCTGTTGGCTCTGCGCATCTACTGCGTGGCTCGTTTTAGGGACAAGGTATGACGCACATATACGGCATGAGTCCACGCAGGACCGACCGCGATGACCTGTCAGCTGGCAACCTTTCAAATCGTGACTCTTTGTGCACCGTAATGGATTCAAGCTCGTCAGCTTTATTATAACAGAGAATGCTCTGAATTGCCATGGGAATAGAGTTCTCTGAGACTGCCCCACTTTCTTTTCCCTCTCCTCATACACCAGTTGACTATCCGAACCCACCAATCACCTGGTTGGACACGGTGGCTGACAAACCTTCGATAGTCTGTCAACATGTGTACATACGACATGTTGACCAAGTCATGCACCAGGACACATCAGGGACTATACTTTTTTTAAAGTACAGCATTTCATTTGCCCATAATTGACTATTTCAATTTCCGCCATCCAGTTTTATGAGTTCTGCCAAGGTTTTTGACCTCAAAAACAAGGACGTTTCCGTGCGAAATGAAGTCCTAGTAAAAAAACTAATGTTATTGTTACTTCAAGCATACACGGGCTGCCTATCCTCTTGAGCAAGTTCTGCACAATTTGTCAACAAAATCCAACACTGAAGTGCAGTAATTGCGTTTTATGATAAGCAGCGGGTCGTCAGTAGGAATTTGAAATTTCTAGTTAACCTTCTGTCGGCAGAGTTCAACCACTAGGTTTTATTCGCAGACACGCACGCAAAAAGGGGAGTGTGAGCTTCCGTATGTTACACGAGTTCCGCCAAATACTGCGCGATCTTCCAAAAACGTCAGTGTGGACCCTGGTGAACAAGACTTACGGCTTTACTTTGAAATCAGGGCTTCAGAATAGAAAGGCAAATGACATCCGTTTATCAAGCATCACGAAGCGGGGATGCAGATGCGCCTGGGTGAATTAGCCCAAGCTGCATGCGGGACAACTCTAAGTTCAAGAAGACACTCGGGTTCGTAGTCAGACCAGGTGAGAGGAGATAGGCAGAGTTCAAGCGTTGGACATTCATTGAATCCCAAGAGTGCCGAAGAAAATGATAGGTTTAACAAAAGTTAAAAGAAGTGTACTTTAAACTGCCAGTATTACCGGGTTCTGGTTGATCTGTGCATTCGATTGCATAACGAGACCGCTGTTTTGCAGCCAAGAAAAGAATCCCGCCAAATGCGTAGGATGTGGATGTTAAGAATGAGACCGTCTTCAGTGACGCTCCCGAACACTTCATACAGTCAGTGAGCAGTACTCACCCGGTGTGCTTCTGCACTCCAGCTCAATGTCTCCACAACGAATGATATCACCATCGTTGAAAAACACATCGGCCTTTGCCTTAGCCAGGGCCGAGATGACACTCCTGCAGCCCTTGATAGCCTGCTTTAACCTATATGTGCCGGTCACGTGGTCAGCATGGGCGTGGGTGTTGATGGCGTAGAGTAAACGTAGATCCAGCGCTTTCACCTGAAAAACGAGTGGGAAGGCGAGAACATCAGGTGCACAGCGCTCGAACTCATTCAGTTAAGAGGGCTCTCAGCGCCACACGGAACATAACCTGAAATCGGCGCCAGCTTAAATGGGTAACTTAGTTTCTCCTAACGCCGCAACTTTCCCTGGAGTTGTCATAAACTGCGTTGACACTTACCCCCCGACAGCCTTGACTTAGTGATGCAATAGAAACAGGACAGGTCTTGGAAGAGCGTGTGAGGTGAAAACATCGCAAGTCCGTTTAACTGTACGCCAAAGCAAACACAGGCCAATGTGTCTAACTGAGCTTACGAATAAATTTTAAAAGGGTGCTGGGCGACTTTCAAACAGCCTGAGAGAGTCAATCAAATTATGCAGGCTGTGAACTTATGGAGGTCATTTCAGTCCTGGTAGACAGAGAAAACAGAAGAAAATGAGCCAGTATTCCTTCCCACCGCAGTGTCAAAATGTCCACCCCGGTCCACCAGGTTAGGGGGCATTAGAAGGCGCGCATCCTATACAAGAGAAATAACGTGTCCGTGTGGATGTCTCAAAAGAAGCAAGAAATATCATCCTGAGAGAAAGAAGCTGATGGAAGAAGGTTTCAGTTTTTGTGTCCTGCGCAGACCATTGTTTCAAGGAGGAGTTTCGGAGTAAAATCGCTCAAGACAATTGTGTAAAGCCGTCAGGCTTGAAAAACGCGTCATTCGTGGCTCCAGCTAGTTTTGTCCGAAGGCTCCATTCAATAATTCGGTTTGGTACGTTTAATTTTTATTTTTTAACGGGTAAAAGAGGTGCAGGGACTTTGTAGACTGCACGTATACTCACAAACAAAAAAATCATGATCGATAGGATTTCAAGGTCGCAATGAGACAGCGTTTCTTGTTTTGCCTCGAAGCTTCAGTCTGCAGGTGGCCCGCACCTTTACCGCAAGAGAGCCTGAAATGGCCACTGGGGGATCATTTACAACCCAACTACCTATCGGCTATCTGAACTAAACGTTCCCTTACCTGAGCCAGGGGTTAATGCCTTTTCGGCTTCAAGTGCATGTAGGATTGGCGCTCCACCGACCCCAACACAAAATCAAATTCATATTCCTCAAACAGACGGTAGTTTTATAAAGGCGACCAAAATCGGTTTAAAGTTAGCTGTTGAGATTATCAGGAAAAGGGATGTATGGAGGCTTTAAGAACCGTGAGTCATCTCCAGGAATGTTTGGACAGCTGGACTAACTCATAAACGCTACACTGCATCGGAACGCTGACGAGTAGAAAGAGATGAAACCTTGTGTGAATAGTTTTGTAAAATTTGAAATCAACCGTGCATTGCTTCAGAACTATCATGGAATCAAATCCTGTCGGTCACCTACCCATGACAAAAACATGTCACGGAACAATGGCACATTCCCTATGCTAAGCAGCATTCAGGATAAATACTCTGACATATCTCCCGAGCATACAGATTATGAACTGATTAATTTAAATGGGGCCGCTGGTTAGAACATCGTATAAAATTGGAACGTACGCACTCTGTTGTAAGCATAATATTCTGTCCAGAGTAAATTTTATTAAATTACTAGAATGGTGAAATTGCGATTAAGGATCCGGCAACCGCCAAATGTCGCTTCATCCGGATCAGCGGGCATCAAGCGAGGCTCTCGTCACTGGACTGGTAGCGAAGACCAGTTAATGAAGAGGAGGCTACCATTTAGAAAGCTTCTAGCAGCATATTTTTTCCAATTCGTGCGAGACCTTTCAAATCAATCTAGGGCGAGTTCAGTCCGGGGTCTGAACAGACTTTTAGCCCGCTTAATAAATTCCAAAAAGACATTTAAAGTGGAAATGAGGATGCAAACAGGAAATGCGCACCAGATCGACGTCTCGTTCGGCTTTTTCGAGAACCGGATCAATGATAAGAGCATCACGGGAACGTGCATCGCCAAGTAAGTAGGTATAAGTAGAAGATACGGGGTCGAAGAGTTGACGGAAGATGAAGGGGCTTTCGACAGCCAGAAGCGGCAAATGTGGTATCACCTGCGAATTGAGATTTCGGCGCTGAAGGACCTGCATGAATAACCTTTGTAGTAGATGGACAAAAAGAGAATGTTTCGATTATTCTGCAAGCCTAAGCCGAACATGAGCAAATTGAGGAAGTCCGATTACGCTTGTAATGTTTAGAATTGAGGTAGAAGTGGCACCGTTGGTCAATTTTCATATGGTGCAATACCATCCTGCCTGATCTCAACCTTATCGAAGTGTCCTACTTCCACCGTTTTGGCTAGTGGTCTTAACTTGTGAAATCTTGAGACGTCTGTTTTATCAAGTATCAATACCAGCAAGTTTCATGAAAAACCAGTGGGGCAGAATCAGTAAGCGGCTTATGAGACTGGCACAAATGGTGTATCCAAAGCGTTTGACTAACATAGTAAAAGTGTTGAGGTAGTAGAACGGTAAAGTGCCCAACTTTCACTGATAAGCGGTTAGTGGGTTTAGCTATATGTGCTTCCAATACAATAAAATTTAGCAAAGTGGGACAAGTCCTTTATACATATATACATATATATATATATATATATAGATCAGTCGACAGTTTGCGGTCAGGAAAACTGTAAGTCAAATGGATACCATTTAAGCATTCTTCAAAAAATGCAGAATTCAAATATTTTCGGACTCAAAAATTACTTCGTAGCCATTAAGTTTAAAGGCTACAAAGGCTACGACATATAAACTTAATCGACCGGTCATAAAATCAATGCAGTGACAGCGGTCTTCAAATGTAAACAATGTGTTCATTTGTACAAAATTTAGTATTCGTTGCCTACTAAAATGGCACATCTGTCACAGGTTACCGCTGGCCGCCTTTCTGTGTAATACCTTATCCAATTTATAAGGTGAAACTGGATAAAACATCCGCCAACGTACTTCGAAGTACCGAACCTCGACATCAGAGTCAACCGTTAGATTCGAAAAATTTCCGACCTTAAAACTCACTCCGATTCGACTATTAAAACACCTAGTTCGATATTTAGAAAAACACTGCTGTAATTTGAGGAACAAATGACGTAACTAAATCACTGGCCTCAGTATATGATGGTCATTTGCAAGTGCGTCCGGCTGACCCAGGCGTTAAAAAGGAAATAAATAAAAAGCGGAAATTGTGGCAGAAATGTCTTACTGATGGGACTCCTGTATCCATAAACGCATACGAAACACAGAGGAACTTAGTCAAGCGACTTACCCTCAGGACACGGCAAACTTTGAAAAAGACCTATTGAATCGTGCTATGGAAAATCCAAAATTATTCTACAGCTACATATGAAGCAGCACACGAAATAGAGATCCAATCCCCTTTCTGAAGGCAAACGGAGACGTAGAGATTAGTGAGGATGCAGAAAAAGCTGAGCACTTTTCACAATTTTTCGAATCCATCTTTACTTGTAAAAGTGCATTTACTCCTCCCGACTACGACTTCGATGATGGTCCAAAATTGAGTCTGTATCCTTTGATGAAGCGACGGTTCGCAAAGAGCTAATGACGCTAAATGTGTCGAAATCACCAGGTCCAGACGACATACCGCCTAAGTTACTGAAGGAGCTCGTTACCGAACTAGCCAAACCATTTTCCATGCTTTTCCAAGCCTCGTTCGAAGCCGACTGCTTGCCCGCCGACTGGAAATCTGCGCGGATCACACCACTGCATAAAGGAGGCAGCAAGGCCTCTGCAAACTATTATAGGCCAATTAGCCTCACCTCCATCTGCTGCAAACTCATGGAAAAAATAATCAAGCGAGAGCTAATGCGCTTCCTAGAGCAGCATAATTTATTATCTGATGCGCAGCATGGGTTTCGTAGTGGCAGGTCTTGCGTGACTAACTTGCTCAACTGTTTGGAACGTTGGACTCGGTCAGTTGATGAAGGCAATGAGCTGCATGTAGTCTATATCGACTTTAAAAAGGCATTTGATAGTGTCCCACATCAGCGACTCCTGCACAAACTGAGCCGAACAGGCGTTAGGGGTAACCTCTTAAAATGGATTCAAAGCTTCCTATTAAACCGTTGTCAAACTGTCCATGTCTGTGGCCAGCAGTCGACGGAGGTTGCCGTTAAAAGTTGTGTTCCCCAAGGCTCAGTTCTTGGCCCTACTTTGTTCATTATTTACGTCAACGATTGCGTGAGTGAATTTGATTGTGGTGTCGCCATGTTTGCGGATGCATTCAACTATGGAGCGTCATTCGAACTGCAGATGACGGAGAGCATTTGCAGGCGAACCTAAACCGACTCCAACAGTGGTCAAGGGACTGGCTTCTGCCGTTCAGTGAGAGAAAATGCAATATTCTACGAGTCGGCAGAGCTCACTCTCCGAACCATATGGCCTACTGCCTAAATGGCATACAACTGCAAAAATTGGACTCGCAGAAGGATTTGGAAGTATGGATTACGACGTCGCTCAAACCCTCGCTCCACTGCACGAAGATAGCCAAGTCTGCAATGTCAGTCCTCTACCTTGTCAAGCGGGCTTTCTCCGCCTTTGATGAAGACTGCTTCGCTAAAGTCTCTCGAACGTTTGTGCGTCCGAAACTAGAATTTACTATCCAAGCTTGGAGACCCTGGACCGCGAAGGACCTCATCATCCTTGAAAGGGTTCAAAGGCGTGCAACGAAATTTGTGGCAGGACAGGGTTCACTACCATATGCAACGCGGTTAGCTAACCTTGATCTCTTTCCCTTGAGTTACAGGCAGTTACGCGGTGACCTGAAACAAGCCTTCCGTATCATACGCGGTCAGGACTGCAGTCTCGTACCGGGGGACTTCTTCGAGTTAGCAACCACCACAAATCTACGAGGCCATCCATTCAAAATACGTGTGACAGGGGCCAGACTAGACACCCGAAAGTTCTTCTTCACTAACAGAGTGCTAGAAGCCTGGAATGCCCTGCCTGTGGATGTCGTTATGTCTGATTCCGTCGAGGTCTTTAAGAGGAAACTGGATTTGTACAGCAGTGTCCACTAAATTACCACCCGATCTCTGTAATCATGACAAATTCCGTGTTATAATACTACTTGCTATATTTCAGTAACGTTTGTAATTGGATTCCTTATTGTCCCCAACCCATCGCATACGCTGACTGACATGCACCTCTGCAACTTTTGTCACCGGATATATCATTAATTTCGCTGCACTCGAAACGACCGCTCTACAACTGCTCGTACCACTAACACTCGAGACAGTTTGTTTGTCTGTACAGATCTGACGCTTTTCCGATTAGTTGTTCCCTTTATGATACCTTTTCGAGTTTTTGAGATTTTGCAGTTGCATGTACACAAATAGGGAGTTTAAAGGTGAAGACCTACATTTCCCTCAGTAAACTGAACTGAACTGAACTGAAAATTTAATTTTTGCACGGAGGTGTGCATTATGAGTAGTTTTTCGAGCTCTCTCGAACTTCTTAATATTTTGTCTGTGTTTACTTGCCTCCCATGGCTTAAAAGCCGAAGTATGTTTACCCAGTATGACAGACGTCCGTTGGTTTCCACGGCTCTTCAGAAAAGTACTGCCGTTTTCGAGATTGTGGTAGCACGCCTCTAGGGTTGGCGACGACCCATAAGACGATCCCATGCAAACTGCGGATCACAATTAGCCCAGTCTGACTTCCATGCCACTAAGACACTGGATTTTACAGACTCTAATAAGAAGAGGACAAGTGGTAAGAGAATTTGCGTTATTGAATACAACTCGCAACCGAAGCCAAGTGTTTCACGGTTTTATGTGTTTACCGTGTGGATGTTAATAATTACCGACTTGAAAAAGTGAATAAGGATGAGATAAGGGCATGCCCTTAAAAAGAGGTCAGCAAACAAACGCATAGTCAAACTTTTGCCCCAGGACACCTAACGTATTACAAAGATGGTCTTGAAAACGACGCGGAATAATAAATACGGTGTAAGAGTGGTACAGTCGCTGATGTAACGTCCCAAGACCGGGCCTTAAAGGACACCACTTAAAACGGTGGTAGGTGTTGACATCGGACATAAACGCACACGGTTTGCAGGCTCCCCGCGAGAAAGCCTGTGATCCATCTGAACAATTTGCCTTTGACTTCAATTTTTAATAAGTTGTAGATTAAACGTTCATATGGATGCTGTGGGACGCTGTCCTGAAATCATAATGGATGTCGTCAACCTTACTATCCTCGTCCAGGACACGAGTCCATTGCTCACTCAAAAACAATAACTTGGAAAGACAAGAACGGTTCAGCTTTAAGCCATGCCGAAGTCCTGAATGTAAATGACTCTCCACCGGAAACCCGATTGTCGCCTTCTTATGCACGGGATCCATTATTTTACAGCACATCCAGGTTAGGCTAACAGGCCGCTAATTTGTGCCATTGGTTTTAACTTCACTCTTGTTTATCGGATATATATGCTGTCTTCCATGACAATCTTCCCAATTCAATTGACGAGTGGAAGATAAGCGCCAGTGGTTTGGGGAGTTCGTCTGCCAATTATTTCAGAGTCTTTGCCACTATATTGTTCGGACCCGATGACTTTGCTTTTTTGATATTCTGCAGTCCTCTCTCCACAATCGCTGAAAAGGACATGGATGCAAAAACTCGGCGGGCGTTTACAATCGCACTGTTGATATTTTTGTTTGAAAATCAACTTCCCTAGTGAATACTGAGGTAAATAACCGACAAAAGCGTTCAATTTTAATTTTTAATTTTTACTTTTAATTATTTTTATTAAAGACCCGTCGGGGTCCCATCAAAGCAAGGGAAAATAAATTTACATGCGAATTTTAGACGAGGTAGGCAAAATCTGTACAAAGTGCAATACATAGTTTTTGAGATTAGAAGTCCGTTAAGAAAAATGATAAGCGAGGGTGAAAAAAAATTCCATACAAAAATTTAAAAATGATTGGATTAATTTTACAGGAGAAAAAAACCCTCGGAAAAATAGAAACAGAAAAATGCGGGCAGGACTGGCCTGCATGTGGCGGTATAGAATGGATTACAGTCGAACATCAACAGGGCCGAAATAAATGTCAGCTGCATATGGCATTGTATAACGGATTTCATGAAGGTGTAAGTAGGCGGGTCGGTCAGGACTGGCCTGTGTGTGGCCTTGAAAAAGGCAAATAAGTGGCGAAATTGAAAACCAGTCTCGAGCTGATAGGAACCTAGATGCGGTCGGTTACATTCACCCGAGTCCATCCGAGGATGGGGCAAGGGAACTGCGACCAGTTCAGTTGAGTGGTGCTCCACCTAAACACGGACCGAACTTCCTCTTTCAAAAATTAACACTTTATTTATGGGACGACATTATGACATGCAGAAAGACAAACAGATTTGGCAGTGTAGACGACCACAAATTTAATGCCGTCAGAACATTACAGGAAGGTGGTTCAGGGGGCAACTAGTACCTTACACTGAATCAGACGTGCATCTATAATATTCCCTCCCAAACCCTTCTGAAGGCTTTTTTAGTGTCTTTGTAAGACCTCGCCTGGTATATGGAATGCCAGCAGGTACACCATAGATGAGGATGCACATTGGCCTACTCGTACAGTTGCAGCGCAGAGCAATGAAGATCGTCGACGGTCCAAAGCACTTCTCTTACCAGGAGAGGTCGAATTTGCCCTGCCTATACCCTCTAGCTTATGGGCAACTAAACTACAGTCTACTCTTGACATTGCAGATTGTCCGTAACCGTAGTTGCTTACTGAAACCGGAGGATGTAGATGCCCCTGTGGTTGTCGGACACTCACTGGTTGCGTCTTCGTTTACCATGACGCAAAATGCTGATATCCTACGGGACTTGTCGGTATCGTCGCATCTTTTGGAACCTTGGGTCTGTCTCGATAAAAGATCAAGTTTACTTTAATTCTAGACTCTTAATTGAATGAAGTTTGTCATCGAGGCGTTTCTATTAGACATCTGTTGCGCTGTTCTGATAATCTCCTGCTGAGAAGATGTAAAACAAATCCAGACACAGATTTTACGTGAGGAAGTGGCTTGATGGCTTCCTTACAAACTGAATATATACGGTTGCTGGCTCACATGAAGTGCTCGGTCCAGGGCCCCGGGATTTGCGGTCTCTCCGACAACATGGTTTGTCAGCGGCACGCCTCAAGTCTGCATATTAGGACCGGGCGAGTTTCAGACAGTGGGCATTCGTTCAGCGCCTTCGGTGAGGTTGTGGCGGCCAGTCATCATAACCGGTCGGGTGTCATTGTTTAAGACCTCGCCGCCTCAAGGTCATTAACCCCTTGCAGCGAGCCGTTCCAGACGCGCTGATCTGAAGCCACTCAACCGACTTCAGCTTCAGCACAATTGCGTCCTCGCAGTGTCGCGGCTACCCATGCGCCACTTGAACGCGCCACCCCATGCAACCAGCAGAACAACCCACTGGGACCCCACCCCTCGGCAAATGCAGCACACGCTGACTGGCCACCAATTGAGCTCGGCCCACGAGCCTACATAAGCGGCTGCCACCAATATCACAGCGACTCTCAGGCCTGACTGGACGCAGTCAACATCAGCCCTGGCTTCTCCAGTGGCCACTGCCGCCTGAGAGGACAACTCCGGGTTCTGTGCACAACAAACCCCTAATTCTGCCGTTTTCTGTCTTCTCTCCTTACGACTTGTGATTTGACCTGGTGGTTGTAGCGCTCAGAGCACTCACACTCACCACATAACCAATACAAGGTCATGTCTGAGTCAGCCTCGAAGATGATTGGCCAATTTCGACAGCCGATATTAGACGAGAATCAGACTACCATCGGTGCACTAGTACAAGTAGTCGTGAGGGCCTTAGCGTTGCAAAAGTCATCTAGAGTTAGGCCACAACAGGTATATGGTAGAGCTCTTGGCACTGGTTTGCAGTCTCAGAACAACGGATGAGCAAGTGACCGACCAGGTCGCTACGCGATGTGAAGGTGCGATTGCAGTGGAGACAGGTTGGATGGGGTCCGCATTACAGTTTGTGGGAGAGGTGGTAGTGATGGTTAGCAGAACCTCGATAGTTGTCGTACCGGTGGTAGTG